TCCTAACACCGACCCCTGCGGAACGCCGGTCTCCACGGCGTAGCGCCGAACCTCCCCGTCTCGATCTGCAAGGAGTACGGTCCTATCCTCCAAGTAGTTGGTCAGGAGGACCCGAAGGTATTGAGGCACTCCGTGGAATCGGAGCGCCTCTAGGATGGTGGAATGGGGGACGGAGTTGAATGCGTTGGCTATATCGAACGACACAGCCAACAGTCCTTCCCCTTCTTCTACGGCCTCCTGAACCTGGCCCTTGAGACGGGTTAAGGCGTCCACGTCGACCGCTGAGCCCGAAAGCCGTACTGGGCGTCTGACAGATCCGGCCCCACACATGCCAAATGGCGGTTGAGGCGAGCAGCGATGATCCCCTCGAACATTTGCCGACCTCATCGAGCAGAACGATGGGCCGGTATGCCGAGGGGGAGTCGCCGGGCGTCCCTGTTGCGGAGCAGGCACAACTGCCCCTCCTTCCAAGGTTTCGGGAACCGCCCCGTTGCGAGACACGCGCTGAAGAGGTCCCGAAACCGCTCCTCCATTTGGGAGGCAGCGATGGCCACCACCCTTGCAGGGACGCCGTCTGGGCCGGGGGCAGTTTTCTTTGCCCGGAGGCGGACCAACGCCGTGTGGATCTCGCTGTCCGTGACAGCGGGGGCCTGTTCCCTCCTCTTCCACTAGGGCCCTCCCCCGAGGGGGATTCATCTGGAGGGGAAACTCTTCCTGCGCGGAAAGGAGCGTACCACCTCATCCAGCAGGGGCTCGAGGGTCTCTGTCACCGGGGGACCTGAGGGGCGCAATTTGTTTCGCGCCGCCTTATACGGTCTCCCGAATGGATCGCCGTCGAGGGACTCCAGCAGCTCGGCTCTCGCTGAGTCTTTGGCGGCACCGATAGCTGACTTGAGGGCCGTCTTTGCCGCCACGTACGCTTCGTACAGACGGTCCTCGTCAGTTTCGTCTCGGCGCCGCCGACGACGGCTCCGCGTGAACTGGCGTTTAGCCGCCATGCACGCTGCCCGCAGTTGCGCCAACTCCTCCGACCACCAATACACAGCGCGGTTTGGAGGTGGGCGACGAGACCGAGGCATGCTGGAGTTGCACACTTCGGTCAGAGACCCTCTCAGTTGAGACGCTGCGGCGTCGACGTCTGCATTCAGGACGGCAGGGGGCGAAAGCCAGTCCTGCAGGAACGCGGCCTCCTTTGCAGCCTCCCGGTCTAGGCGGGTGAGAGCCCACCGAGGAAAGGGGGATCGGGCCGACGATGTAGAGTTCCCCCGACGGCTCTGGGTGGAGATTTCGAACCGCACGTATCGGTGGTCCGACAAGGTCTCCACCATGTCCACCCGCCAGTTCTCCACACGCGCGGCTAGCGATGGGGATGCAAAGGTGACGTCCACTATGGACCCACCCTGCCGCCGCACGCATGTTTGAACTCTCCCCCTATTTAGAAGGGAGAGACCAGAGGAGGCTGCCCACGCCTCGAGCGCCCGCCCACGGGCGTCGGTAGCCGGGTTGCCCCACGTCTCCGACTTGGCGTTTAGGTCCCCCAGCACAGAGACCTGTCGGGCGTCATCCTGCCGACGACAGCCGCAAGGACTCCGAGAAAGTCCTCGAAGTCTTGCAGAACGATTTGGGGAGAAATAAACGCCCACTAGGCTAATCCCCCCACGCGACGGCCACGTATCCCGATCCTCTCTCTAAAAGTGAGAGGGGAGGAGAGTCTGACAAAGGCCGTGCCGCAACTGCCACGAGGCCGTCCCTGTCGCCCAACCAACGGTCAGGGATTGAATAGGGCTCAGCGACTACCGCGACGTCCACCAACCAATCTGCCATAGACTGCACCAGCAGGTCTTGGGCCGCTCTGCAGTGGTTGGTGTTGGCCTGTAGGATGCGATGACTGGGCCCCATTATTCAATCATCGCATCACCCTCATCGGCTTCCGCGACCGGTGTGTCGGTGGCGGTAGCAGCAGCAGCGGGTCGCCTTGGCACCTGCATTTTACCCTTCTTGGTGGGGGGATTGCAGTTCCTCCCAGCCATTACGTGGTTCGCCGGGCGACCACTAGCGGCACAGACCGCACAGTGCGGCGTGACAGCATCACAGGATGCCGCCATGTGCCTTGCTTCCGCAGCGGTAGCAGGTGTCCGCCCTCTCCACCGTGGACGGACACATTGTGCGGGTGTGCCCTATGCCGAAACACTTAAAGCAGCGTAGGGGTCGCTCTTCAAGTGCCCGGACCACGGCTGAGCTGAACCCAATCAGGAGCCGCCCCTTAGTTTTAACAAGGACGGCCTTGGCTGCAGTGACTGGACAGTCCACACGGGTTGTACCCAGGCCACGCCGGCCAGTCCTGATGACTCGGCCTTGCACCGACTCGACAGGGCAACCTCCTGCTGCTGCAATGGCCGCCACCACTTCTTCCTTGGAGACGGAGTCATCCAAGTTGGTGACCTCTAAAGTCGCGGACTTGACTGGCCTGGCGACCTTTGCCACGTCCGCGATGCCCTCGCGCAATTTTGTTGCGAAGAGATCCGCATTTTGCGAACCCGATGCCCCGGGAAACTCGAAAATTCGAGCTCCGGTTTGGGTTCGGCGGCAAGTAACGGCCGCAATCCCCAGCTGGGTGGGATCGGCATGGGCACGAGCCCGCGTTAATACGGACTCGTATGTTTCGCCCCTTTCGGCGGCCTCGGGGGTGATGGTCACCGTAACCGCCGCCGTTTTGGGAGCCGCCAGTTTCCTCCCTTTTGCTGTGGGAACAGCAGGGGCCCTCTTGGCTGCGGAAGTAGCAGGGGCGGGCTTGGAGGCCGCTTTCCTTCCCTTCCCTCGCTTCACTACCTCCGTCCATGTCTCGGTGGGAGCTACGACTGAAGACTCCAGCACGTCACTTTCCGACCCAGAGGAGCTGTTTGGGTCATTTCCGGCTCAGCTATACTTGCGCTGGATGTAGTTTGAGCTGCCGGCTTTGTGGTCTTGCCCCGTCCTTTGCCCTTAGAAGGCTTTGGGGCCTGGGGCAGTCCGCTGGTGGTTGCAGCTACTGGCGGTGGCAGTGCTGCAGATTGCGCTCTGTCCGCCGCGAGTGGAGGGCGGATGCGCTTCTCCGGCAACAGCCGGTCCTCAATGCCCGCAAAGCAGGCTCTGGTGAAGGCCCTTTCCTCCATTATAACCTTCCGGATTATATCCTCAAGGTTGGACGAGGAGTAAGAGGAAGGGCCTGTTGCCACCGCGTTGCTGGCCGATGGAGCTGTGGCTTCAGCCAGTTTTTTGTGGAGGTCGCTGACCTCAGCTTGAAGGCGATCGACCCGCGCCTGCAGTTGCCGCGACTCCTCCGTCGCCGTGCGCTGCACCAGCTCCGCGATAATGCCGTGCATGCTGGCAGCACGACATTTGAGGGCTTTCTGGAAGGTCCCTTTCAAGTTTGAGGACTTAGAGGCGACCTCCACTATCTCCTCCTTGTCCTCCAACGCCATTTGTGCCAATTCAGCAACCGAATGGTCCGCGTAAAGGACGTTGGACGCCCCGTAGCCAGCCCTGGACCTCGTGGCGCTTGTTGCGCGCTCCTTGGCAGCGACCTTCTCCTCCAGGTCCTTTTGCCCCTCCAGTCGTCTGGCTTGGGCCAGAGACGCCCTCAGTTGGCGTTGAGCCTCATCGAGTCCCACGTCGTGGGCGCTCGATTTGGCCTTGACCTTTCGTTTGGTCTTGCCGAACGACTCCAAAGAGTCGTCCGACTCGAGCCTAACATACGCCCGCTTTAACTCATAGCGGCTGGTGGCCGCCTGCGACTCGGTTGTGGACTCCTCACAGTCCGACAACTCGTCCGCCCGACAAAACAAGCTAGCCGCAGATGGTGCGCGACTAGCCTCCGACAACGCGTCGTCGGTTTGGCCCTGAGAAGGGCCGTTTGGTTGGCCCTGAGAAGGGCCGTTGGGTTCGCCCTGAGAAGGGCGTTTTGTAAGGAAGCGCCCGAAGGCGTCCCGCAAAGGCTTCGACATGGAAACAGACGTATTCGTACTGCACCGCAAGGAAAATGTACGAATTCACAGCGCTCGTTAGCCGCCGGTCTGCCACTCCGTTACGGTGGTCAGACACGGCGTTGCCCGGGGATCACTACGAGGAAGTCAGCACTGTGGGGGGATCCCCAACCTAACCTAACCTAACCTAACCTAACCTAACCTAACCTAACCTAACCTAACCTAAACAAAAAAAAAACCTGTAACCGTTACATTTGGCGTATCATTTTACAAGTCTTTTAGGTATTGACATCTGTCATTTTGTTATTTATTTGTCGTTATGAAATTTGCAATCGGTCTTTTTTATTTTTGCCGTTTGTCATGTTGACATTTAATTTTGATTTTTGCTACATGTGACACTCATACATTTAGTTATAATACGTCCATGCACTCATTTTTGATTAATGCTCAAACCTTCTCCGTGTGAGAAGAGGCTTTGCTCAGCAGTGGTCATTTACAGGCTGTTGATGATGACTCATTTTTGACAGTTATAATTTTGATATGGACACAGACACAAAAATAGACATTGACACTGACACTGACAATGATACTGACATTTGATATTTAAGAATTTATTTGCGTTGTGTAATTGACATTTAACCGATGTCATTTTGACATTTGATAAACATTATTTCAATATTTGAGAAATGTCAGTTTAATGTTTGTGACTATCATTTTGACATTTGTGAAATTTCCGTTTGACATAAATTGACAGTTATCATTTGGTCGAAAACTTTTGAGTGATCTCGATACGTAGAGGATTCGTAATTGGACTCGGATCGATGAGAACTTTTTACGTTTTACCATTTTCTAATGTCGCTTAAATTGTAATCTTCCTTTGATTATTGTACTGTGTGCTTGACAGCCTTTCTAAATGGTCCAACAAACTGGTTAGCACTTGAAGGTTAAAGAAAGCATAAGGGATAAAATAATAGTGACAAGATAATAGGAGTAAATTTTTATTAAAATATAAGTATACAAAGCAGTCTTTATTTTGGTTTACTGGCCCAGGGGATTGCCGAGCCACGGGTAGACACGGGGACACACATTGCACGATTCAAATTCATATTCTCTCTGAAACAATTTTTATAATCAATTAGCATTTTTTCGCTAGTTTATAGGAAAATCATTTCCTGTACAATCACCAAACTTGCGCATTTTCTAAATTAAAATCGCATTTGGCTTCCGATATGGAAAATAACTCGTGTACTCACTCCGTCGTAGCTGGAGATGACCTCGCACTGTGAAGCCACGCAGGTGGTAGGTATGAACTGGCGACAGGCCTGCGTCCTGTACTCGTTGACTGGGACCGGGTTCTTCACCCACTCGATGACCTCGTCAGCAGTCACCTGGCGGTAACAAACTATATTTAGTACAACAGTAGTGGTCTCCCACCACTGCTATGTCAGCGTCTACTTGACGTGTGTGTTACTAGGTATTATCGATATTAGTTAAACATATTGTACATGTGTTTGGAAGGCTGTAATAAAGTTAAGCTCGTTTACCATGAAGACGTCTTCCAGGTTGTTGATAACATCCAGGAACCGCTCGAGCGCGTTCTGCACAGCTGGGAACGGGTAGAGGATGGCTTCGAGGAGGAACACTCCGAATGGAGCTCGGTTACCGAAATAGTGCCTCTCGAAGTTGCTTAGGAAAAACTGGAACCATTCTGTCTCGTTGAAGCGGTCAGGCCTGTAAATTAAGTTTTCTTGGTAACCCCGCGATGGCAACAGAACACAAGCTTGGCACATAATCCAAAATTCGAAGTTAAAAGACTGGTAACTTTAGTCAGGCGCCATAGGTTATCAAATTCTTGTCGCATAGGTAAAGTTCAACTCAAACTGCTTGTTTGGTTGTTATGTGTGTTATGAATAAGTGCACTTACAATCAAGTATTGAAGTAAGTTAGTACGTCAGTACTAAATGATGACACACAGTTGTAAACAACATGACCACAGGTTACATATAAAGTGGTGTGACTCATAATATATAATAGGTCAAGCGAGTTTTGTGGCAGGATTACAAATAATTACAAATTCACTTACGAGTTGTAGCACTCGTGTACCAAGGAGCAAGGGTTGCCGTCGAGGTCGACCCATGGAATGATGGGTTTGACCCACACGCCGGGGATAGAGGCGTTGGGACACGGAGGAGCGAGGCAATCCTGCGTGGACTGGTAGTCCAGCGTGTAGGGCCACAGCGCAGGGTTGGTGAACGCGTTGGTGGCCCAACTGCTGTCGTATTTCAGCCCGTAGTCTGACATCACCCTGTAACTGTTATCTCCAGACAGCTGGAGGAAGGGCAGCCGCATGCCTGGAATATTGTTCATAATTTAATGACTGAAACTACGAACTTAGTATTAGACCGCAGATTTTTTGATTCCGTCAAAGATATGAGAATCCAAATGTAAGTAGATGTGTTTTGTGCAGTATCTCGGCAAGTATTTGTCACGTCTAAATATGACGTGCTCACAAGACGTTGTATATAGGTAGGTACGGGGTGTCTTGGTGTAGGGTGTCGAGTACATTTGAGCAACAAGTTAAAACTGAATGTAAAAGTTACCGGTGATAGAGTCGTAGGGAATGTTGGCGAAGTGCGACATCTGTACTCTCTGGTCAGCAAACTCTTGTTTGATGACATCATAGGTGGCATCGCGCCAGTATGTGGACGGGTTCATGTGTGTCATGGAGTGCAGCGCCACCTCGTGGCCGCGGTTGTAGAGCTCATTGACGAACACATAGTTGGTGTAGAGGTGGCTCACGAAGAAGGTGGCGCTGGCCGCGCAGCCGTTGGAGTTGCGGCGGTTGTACAGCACGCGGCGGTACGTCACTATGTTCTCTTCGTGCACGCTGTCCTCGAACGCCACCACTACGAACTGGGAACAGACCACGAGCATGTACTTAGTATCTAGACAGACATAACATTACTGCAACCACAAGTTGAAACAAAAATATGGAAAATTCCAATAGGCCTAACGTATTATCAAATTAAATTATTACATAAAAAATATTAGATAACAAAGAGTAATGAATTGTCAGTGCTTTCATATCTTTGAACTAATTATAGGCATTCAATTTAATTATAGGTGTATGTTCTGATAATGTAAGCGGATTAACAATAATTGACAAGTGTTGATAGCATCGTATATGCAGTGAATGTGGCGAGCTAGCGAGCGCACAGACACACTGCGGCCGGCGTCTGACCACACGCGGCTCTCTGCAGCAGGCCAGCAGCTGTAACATTACCGATGCCGAGTCCCTTCACATGGCAGCTACAAAGTCGTCTGATATTGTCTCATTTGTATTGGAACTAATGCGTACTAAGATTTTCTTTTCGAGCACACTAACTTACTGATACCACTATTCGTTTGATTTAATAACTTTTCTTTAAAACATTAATCTACACAGGGTCTGTGACTGACTCCGAAATCGATCAAATCAGCGCTGACTTGAAAATCCCACACAAATGTTTTGAAGTCAGTCAGTTCGGAATCAGTCACTGACTCTGTGTAAGTCTGCCTTAATATTCAAGACGCAAACTTAAATAGAAAGAAGGTAAGAAAAATCTTTATTTCACGGTAAACACAAGTGACATGTACAGATGTGTCATTCTATCAGTAGGTAGGTACTGATGGATACATGTTCATGTCCAAGTCTGCTGCGAAATGGGACCAGTTCAGTTTGTGCAAGACAGAGAATTGATAAATGTACCTACTACTAAAGTACTAATGTAACTGGGGGCAAGTCTACTGTCACGTTCCATTTAGTTTTTATCATCTAACTTTAGCTGATGGTCATGAATTCATGATGCAAACCTCCTTTAAAGAGGCCCTTGTTCAACAGTGGACTTATTTCGACAACTAATGAGTATTTCAAACTGCACTTGAGACCTTGAGTTATAATAATCTAAAGATGCAATAATGTTAAACATCCAAATCCGGACATCGTTTACTATTGAGCTGTCCTTCCGAACGCTAGTCAGTAGACGCCGAAGCATTCAAATACTGTAGGCACAGTGCTGTAGTCAAGTATGATCGAAAAAAATGAAGATATTCAGGAATGGTGGCGGTTCTCACCTGCGGAGTGTCCCGAGCAGCGAGTCCCCCCGGTATGTCGGTGCTGGAACACCGGCAGTGCGGCAGCTTGCAAGTCTCGGGGTCGCACGGCGCGGCGGTGGACGAGTCCTCCGCCAGCGACACCGAAGACACGAGCAGCAGAGCAAGCAAAGCGAGGCACTTCATGGCGGCGCGCAGTGTCCAGGGAGTGATGTCCGGCGGTTCAAGTAGCGGTCATTATATACACTGCGATGTTATCAATCAATGCTTTCGATACCCTTCTTGTATCTTATCTTGATGCTGCCCGCAGAGCCACGAGTGCGACTACGGGCCACAACGTCTCGGGTTCCGTTTGCAATGAAAGCATTTTCGAAGCTTTACAATAAACCGAGAGACCAAGATTGTAGAAAACAAAAACTGTTTAATTTCAATATTTTCGTTTTGTTTCGCGCACTAGTTCTTGCGCCAGTGACGTGACGTTACTACTACTTCGACGCTTTCAATAAACATACATTTTTGAATGAACACAACATGATTAGCCAATGTAAATCCATACATCATAATTTGAATCTACTTAGGTAGGTAGTTATTCGAAAATGTTATTAGCCATCATTTAGGATCTTGTCCCGTTTCAAGATCAATTGCTTTTATACAAGTGAGAAGTGTTGCACTGCAGCACTCATACGGTGCCCTCAACTCGAGCTGATGCTGTAGTAACAACGGTACGACACTCCTCACTAACATACCATATAGAATTTGCATGCATCTTTCAGTCTCGTGAAATAAAAAAATCTCAAACGAAGACACGCGAAACAGCTATAGGTATAAGTAGTAGCATTAAATAGGCGCATTTTCCATCCATTAATAGCACTGACGTAGGTGCGTGAATTGATTCCTGATAAAGCCTCGAACAACATCGATATAATATAAGACGGCACTACAGATTGCCAGATACCCCGCTATCTCGGCGCACATCTACATTGATACTCTGCATGTATGGGTATGTATGCTTCATACAATGCAGGCACCGGACTAATGCGGTCGTTCTTTCATTATTTTGGAATTACCATTGCGGCACGCGGCAGTGCCTAATTACTTAGATTGTTTGTACCAGAATGTTCCGCGCATAATTACGAGACGACCGACGTTACTTTACCTACGTACGCTCCTGTGACCTAGGACCGACTATCGTTTTGCTTTGCCGTCGGCCTCTTCGACCGTGGGCTGTGGGGGACTCAAACCTTCCCGAATATGAATCACTTACATCCTCTGCAGTTGCAGAGTTGTCCCTTCAGCAGTTGCAGAACTGCAGAAAATCCTTTCAGTAATTTTTAAAAGATGTCTCTGACGAACAAGCCCTCGCGGTGGAGGCGTGGCCATTTTTCAAAAAAAGGAGGAGGTACTATGTTCGGCTGACTGTTTTTTTTTTGTTTGTTCGTGCAATACTCCACCATTTGTGAACCGATTTCCAAAATTCTTGTTTTGTTTGAAATGGTATACTCCCGAGTTGATCCCATTTCCATGAGGTCAGGATCTGATGATGGAATCTTAGGGAAACTGAAGGAAGCTTTCGAAAATTGTAGGGGCAAGTAATGCGTCTATTATTTTTTTCAATTAGGATTTTTAAACATTGCACTTTGATAAGGGTATGGCATCGACCTGATGATGGAGCCGACAGATAGTCGAGGGAACTCCGCAACGGTTTATTTTAACTACCTTGTGTTTGGGCTTGATTAATTTGTATTGATTAGAACTTTGCACCTATGTAGATTTTATAAGAGACAAAACGGATCTATGTAGCTTTACACTAAAAATGATAAAATAATAAAGTAAAAACTGTGTTTAAGTAACCGACTTTCAGTATCAATTTCATTATTGTTTTAAAAAATCCAGTCATCTTGTACTCGCTTTGTACGATTTTTCTATGCATTTAACGGTCAGTTTATACTGGTGTCGCGTAGCTTGATGTGGAACCATTTGTACTTCCTACTACAGTAGGTACCTAGTTAATAGATTTATATAAAAACTGCGTTTAAAAAACCGACTTCAAAAAACCAAAAACTAATAACAAACAAGAAGTCAAAACTAAAAAGCAAAAAATAACTATTATTAGTACTGATAGGTTACCCACCCACTGATAGGTTATAAGTCGGTGCCATAAGCTCATATCATAATGATGTAACTTAATGGCCTCAAAATTGTGAATTAGGTTCCTATTAAGGTTTTAATTAATAATTTTGTGTAGAGCTTATAGCGCCGATTTCAAACCTATCAGTGATAATAATAGTATTTCTTTTTTTGCTTTTTAGTTTTTAGTTTTTGTTTGTTATTCTTATTAGTTTTTGGGTTTTATGAAGTCGGTTTTTTAAACGTAGTTTTAAATGATATTTAGATGATGAGTGACGAGTTATGGGATGGGACATTTTTCTAGTACTCAAGTTCAAGTGGGTAAGTGTATGGCATAAGTGCCTACGTACGATTATACGCATGCGCCACTTAGTGCCGTGCAGATCGTGGCGTTCCACGTGTTTTCAGGAAGTTCCACTTGAACTTCTAATAACAAAACGTTTCTAACGTTAACATTTCCTTCTATTAATATATCCGTGACAATAGTTGTTGTGATCGTTCGTACTTCATAGAAGTCGCACAAGTAGTTGTTGTAGTGCACACAGAGCATGTCGGGTCGAGCAACGTGTTCTGCAGTAGGTACTAGGTAGTGAGCCCGGCTGTGGCGGAATGTTCCAGTACATTGGTGTGTAGGTAGGTACATACGTAGCGGTGGGTGCGCCGCGCGCCGCGCGCCGGCCGGTGTCCACGTTATTATCAGCGTGACGCTCACTCTTGCATTTATCAAGCGCTCGGTGCCGGTAGTGGTGGCAAACACTTTATTATCATAACAAAATTTCTACTAAGTTTCAAATCACGCATATTAGATTTTTAGTAATTTAGATCAGAACATCGAGATAAGCGATAAGTACCTAAGTCGTATGATACCTGGTGAAGCCGTAGTGCTGCACTGCGTCAGTGACCGGCGGCCGCGGCCGACAGAGATTACACCATGTCACAATGTGATGTAACATAGCCCAGAAATAAATCAACTACCTTCCTCCAATTACCTGTTACTATCTGTGAACTTTTACTATCCCGGAGTCCTGAGCCATTGAGCCCGTACTTCCATTACCTTCATCAGTTGTCCTGACTCCCTACATAAGATAATTAAGTATTTTGCTACTTAGCTACGCAATAACTTCATTCGTCCAGCACATGTAATAGTCTAAGTTTGTCCGTATTCATTCTTTAGTTGTGTTAGTTTCTTTGACGTTCAAGAATGCCTCATATTGGTTTAATTGAAATATCAAATATTCAATGCTCCTTGATTTGTACTTTGCGGTGCTCTGGCATTAAAACTGCTTATTTTACATACGAAAAAGTTGTCGAACCATAATGTAGAAAATTGTACGTAATTAGTTTAATATTTTGGTCTACGTTTTAGTCGTAAAATGCACATGAAAAGAGATGTTGTAAAAATTGTTTTGACACTTTACTTGACTATATAATGTCTAGACGGAGTATCAGTTCACGAAAAGCGGCCCATAAAGCTTTGACTATATAATGTGTAGTTATCGCGCCACCATACAATAGCAACAAAAATGACGTCTTGTGGTTTATTGTTTGTTTCCCTTTCTCGTCGTAAAGTACTAAACCGATTGCTTTACATGCGGACTCTAGTCAAGTAGTACCAATTGTGTCACCTAGGCGTCACTACGTGTCGCGGAGAACCTAACGGGTTACCGGGGCTCCGGCTCGACGTGCAGGAGAAAGAACGGGGTGGTTTTAGTCAGTAAGAGTCTGACACTCCCTCCCGCCTCACCCAGGCGGGAGCAGTAATTAGGTGATTTTCCCCCCTTAACAAAAATATGTAGGTACCTACCAAACACAAAAATATATTTTCTATGCTAATACTTAGCACAAAAGTACCTACACTGTGTATGCATATACACACCTTGTACACATACACACGTGCGTAATAAATACGTATGTTTCTTTTCTTTTATTGTGCTCAAAGTCAAAGTCAAAGTTAACGCCATCTATCGACAAGTAGCGTAAATGTACAACCTTGTACACATACACACGTGCGTAATAAATACGTATGTTTCTTTTCTTTTATTGTGCTAATAATTATATTAAAATATCAGCCAAATGTGAGTGCAATTTCCGCAGGAAACGTTCCATAGCGCAAGTACGCGCAATGACAATGACATTTAACGCCATCTATCGACAAGTAGCATTATTGTACATAAAATAAAAATGTTAAAAATGTTAATGTTGACGATGCGAAAATTAAATAAATAGATAGGTACTATCGGAAATAGTACAGATAATACTATCTACCTATTTCAATAATACCTACCATACGGTAGGTATTATTGAAATAGGTAGGCCTAAACGTATTTCTGGATTTGTAGTGCCAATTTCAACGAGTATAACGTTTTTCTTTTAAATCTGTTTTTATAAACGGTATTCTCACTTATCTATGGGTATTCTATTATGCTTTCTAATTTTACACATGTTTATCACAGCTCTAGGTGTGTTTAACCAAAAAGTGTGGTACAACAATTTGTGGATCATTGTGAAAAAATATCCACTATCTAGTAATAGATTAGTTCACCTCTCCGGTAATAGATGGCGTTACTGGACCCATCATATCCGTTGATGTGCCCGTAACATCACGCCCCTTATTTTTTAAAGAACTAAAAAGTAGGTACATTTTCTACATTTTTACATTTACACACAGCACAATATACATTTCTAGGCTGACAATGGATTAACTAGTGCATGTTACAATAAATAAAGTGATTGATGTTGACGTAGATGCGGTAGATGGAGGTTTAGTATGCGAGTGTGTATTCTTATTTAAATTCACTCGACTCTAGTCCAGTACAGTTCAAGTGTTCTATGAAAGTTCAAAATAAAATAGATAAAACTTTATGTTGTTTATATTGTCTTATTTACTATTATTATGAATGTCTTTACTACTCACGGGACTACATGGTCCGGGTCATTTGGGAGGCGTACGAGGGGCCGAAGCCAACTGCGCAGAGGCTCTTTAGACAACTTTAATCTAAATGTAATGGACACACAAACCGGCGACTATCCCTGTATGTACTATGGAAATGCACCCAAGGACAGTCCCCGGTTAGTGTAGAACTATTGTGGATAATGGGGAAAAAGGTAGGGCTATGGATTGGTTGCTGTGGACTGGTAAATTGGAGACTATGGATGACTATGGCATCCGCCGAAACAATGTAATTATTACACGTAAAAATGGTAGGCGGAGACTCGCTAATCGGGCCCCGGGAATGGTTGCTAGATATAGCAACAGAGGGTGTGAGTGGCTGAAGGGTTAAGCAACTACCACCGCTTTCGACTCAGATCATCTGCTCCAGCCAAAGCCTCCTGCATCCCTGTCCCGACTTACGAATAGTTTCTTACCCTCTGAGCAGGATCACTGCTCTCGCGAATCCACTCTGGACGGCTAATGAAGGCAAGCCAGAAGTGGGAGATCTGTTCCTTGTCATCGTTCACTCCAGCCAGCCAATTAAGGCAAGCCGGAGAATAAGGAACGGTGACTTCTCCCTGGAATACTCGGGATGATGGGAGCCCGCGGGGTTGCTACTCGTCACCTCGCCTCAAGGTGTCCTGTGGGCGTATTATTGTTATTATTAAATTAATTACCTACCCATTATATTGTTTTGGTAAAAAATTATGAATAACACTACCTATTTAAAACTACGAAAATATTACTGGTATACACCAAAGCTGGGAGACGACTGGCGTGCTAATCTGCTAACGCTATAGGGACGCAGGCGCAGCTCCGCACTTGAATAAAAGCACATAAATATATCAACACAGAAGTGTCGACACAAAGCGAAAATGGTTACATGCCAAAATAGTGGCGTCTGGCGCTACGTAGTCGCTGCCTACCCCAAGGAGTCGGGACGGTTTTATTTACTACGGTATGTCGTCAGTTACCCACCGACACCGGGAATCAAACCGATAGTTCTCGCTCGGTAATCACATGTTACAACATAACTTATATACCTACTTATAGATAGTAATGAATTACAATTTACTAAAAAAGTAATGTCTATAACTCCTAGATCATCTAGATTATCCGCTGAGTATAGTGAGTATCGTAACCGTAAGAAGCGATACGAAAAGGTGAGTGACTGTCACGTTGCGGTCCACTCATTATTTTGATAGGGAAATACTTGGACCGGTTACAAAACGCGATCATACGATATTTGTTTACACATCGCGCGACGTCCCCGAACTCGGTGAGTGGGTCGCGTGAGAGGTGTGGCGACGCCAACTCCGTCACGCTGTCACTCTGCCAGCCACCGGCTGCGAGCAGTCGCAGCCCGCGGTGATGCAAACAATGTCAAAACATGTTTTGACTAAACTCGCTATAAAATTTACTGGCCTTGTTTACAATACATCAGTGCGCTACTACACTTTACTCCGCAACAATCTGTCTACTGAATAAAAGACATCTGCATCTTATTTTGTGACATTGAGCAAAACTATAAAAATAATACAGGAAGTGGGAACGTTACTCATCACTAGTGAAAGTGTTGTTACCTGTTGGAACTGTGTCGTGTGGTCACTGTACTGCTGTATTCCGTTAAACGTGAAAACTTGAGAAACAATTTGTGTAAATATAAAAACGAACGTTTAGAAGCGATTAATAAATATATCAATCAAAACACATAAGATATTAATTTAGTGCTGTATGTGTATGTAATTATAGGCATATTAAAAATATTTTTATTATGAAACATAAAAGAGTACACGTTTAAAGTGTAACAAAGTACGTGTTACGAAACGTATTAGATTTGTTTTGATTTGCTGAGGTTGGTAGAACTGTGCGGAGATCGTACGATACTACGTCACTGTGAAGTTGTCATTGATTTATTTATATTTTGCGAATTTTACTCGCAGCCTCAAGGTTTTGCGCTAAATTCGCACATTCTCATTCAGTGGCTCGGTGGAAGCACACGACGCATTGATAAAGAATACTTCGTGCAAACTATCGAGTTGACATTCACTGTTTATTTGAGACAAAGAGTGACGTGACCTGGTGTAGTCGCGCAGACCGCGGTATATTATTGTGCTGATGTACGTGTTGGTGCAGTGCTAGTGTCCCAGTGGTAGTGCTGTCGCTGGCGAGATGTCGTCGCTGGGCGGTCAGTGGCGCGTGATCCGCCACTACCTGTCGCTGAGCAACATGCAGGCGGAGGTGGAGAAGCTGGTGCAGAAGATCAAGCCCGCCACGCCCGAGCAGTGGGACAGTGAGTACTACACTGTATTAAACTATATATTATGTTGAGGTTGTTGCCCAGCACACTGACCCCATTGTAAACAATTAGACTGGTGTAATTGGATTGCAGGACATTGCTCCCTGGTTTCTTATTAGAATGTAGTATTTTGAAGTGGTAATGCTATTGCCTTTTCATTAAGAAAGCATTTAGTATCAGTATACAGTATTAACCCTTTGAGTACCGTCATTATAGACACAATTAAAGAACAATAGGTTGCGGTCACTGGTATCCTCGCTGTATTTGACAGTTTAAAACCATGTAAAAAAATACAAAAGGGCTCTAATAATAAATAGAAGCTTTTCTACTAACAGTAACCTGTGGTTATTGTTATCTACTAGACATTCTAATTTGAATGCTCAAACAATCCATTCTATTATTCTAGATTTAATACGGAAGTTTGAGAAGGTGGTGTCAGCCCGACTGACTCCCGCAGCTGAAGCTGAGAAGACGGCCGCGGCAGCAACTGATAAAGTAAAAGCATCCACAAGTGAAGAGACAGAACCCAAAGCCTCTGTACAGGAAGTAAGCAAGTCTCCGACTAGACAAGTGCCAGAGAGTAAGTCCAAGGAGACTGGAGCCCCAAGCATGGGCTCTGAGATGAAGGAGTTGTCCATGGAGAGCTTGCTGCAAGGACTCCGACTCAAGAAGGACACCACACTCGGCAAGATATCAGAGCCCACCTGGAAGGAACAGAAACACTCTGTCTCCAAGGTAACATGACACATATACCTCTATATCTAGGTAGTTGTACAAGTCCATGGTGACAGAACAGGGAGCGCAGTGTCCCAGTACTGTCACTGCTACTAGTGATGATGAAGTATTATTTGAGTGTATGGCAAGTGATTGTGTAAGTCACTGTTTATTGTTTTGTTTAGATGTTATTGTACTATTTATAGGTTTGTTTACATTCCCATTGCACTCGACATGCCTTTACACGAGTACATCTTACCTCTAACTGATGGTACACATTACATCACCATCGCCCAGTAGTTGCTTGTTTGTTGTCTGTATGAGTATCACTGTGTTGCTCAGCTTTCCCGAAAATGTGAGTTGTTGTTATTGATGAGTGGATGAGTCATATTGTGTGAACAGTTACAACAACAACAACAAGACATCAATCGAGCGCGCGATGTTGTTTGCGTGTCGCGTGACTCGCGCCAGTAGCCGCGGAGTGAGAGCTGGGTGCCAGTGCGATGACAGTGCAGTGATACCGCGGTGATAGTACTTCGGGAGGTTATTGATAACGTGAGAGATGAGTGCCGCCAACATGTCACTACTGCTCGACACAATATAGAATAACACAGAAAATCAACTACCTACATGTATTACCTCAATTTATCGTTCAGTGTAAAATATTAGTTAGAAGTATACATGTGATTAAAATTTGACCGCCTAGTCCGGCGCGTGCTAGTAAGCACAACTGCCTAACTGAACGTCTTAAACTCTATTACCACGTTAGACAAAGTATGAAAGACAGTTTTTCGATTTGCTGCAATACTCAGTAAGTGACAAGACCAGAAGAAGTGTAGATGTAATAACTACTACAGTTTTGAGTGGTCTTCTGGAAAATAAAAGGCTTCACATTTACGCTAAGTAGTAAGTACTCAACTAAATAAAACACTATTAAAGTTAGTAAACAAATAGTAGTTTGGAACTTCTACGGTCACGTATGTAGTGGCGCGAATCTAATTGTGTCAGCTGTTATCTAATCAATCAGTGAATATTCGGCGACCACTTGTAAACAATCAATAATGAACGCACACGCGGCGGTAATGTATGAATGTATACACTTACACAAGTACATGAGTGAGTGGAATTTGTCTAACTCGCGAGATAGGTATAAGTAATTGGGAGAAATGTGTCGATGACTGGTTCTCCGACTACGGGAACTGATTATTCACTCTAACATTAATAAATATGGAATACTGTGAGACAGTCGGTAGAGTATAAACATGGCACCCACGCAGTAGTTTGTTTACAGCAGTATATAATAGTTGTTGCACATGTGTTAGCTCGTGCGACAGTTGTTGTTGTTGTTGTTGATGGCTAGACTCCAGACAGCGTCTCAGGTGTTCAGGTTCACTATTTGACATTATTAAGTAAGGTCAGCTTTGTGTACATTACATTCCTATTGCTTATAAAAAACTCAGTAGGTACCTAGGTAAGTAACAGTAACCCTGGATATAGATCCAGGATTTCTTATCGCACTGCTTTGAAAATAACTTCGAATCCACACATAAATATTGAAATAACTGTGAAAGTGTAATATTGTTGTACAGCCATTATGTAACAGTGTCAGTACGCAGTATGTTAGTACGTAGATAGCGCTGTCCCCCAGTGGGGGCCGCCACACACTCGCTCGAGATAAAGAGTCACCAAGTAATGTTACGACGCACATTGTGTCGGAACATCCTTGACGTGCCACACATATCTCGCCAATATCAATAATCACGTATTAGAAGGAAATGTTTTGCAAATTTTTAATACTTATGAGTCAGTATAACTGCTTGATAGGTCGTAACAATCTTGATTGAATATGGAGTAGAATTCACTTCCGATTGTAATGTATGGTAGTATGAGTAGGAGTCGGTAGCAGTATGTGTCGTGTATAGCTGGCAGCTCGCCAGTACTGTACTGTGACACTGCGATGTACACACGATGTACGTTGCTCGGACTCTCTAGAACTAGGCGAGCAGGTTACATAACGTGACCTACACAGTACACACACTGCACCGCCGGCACTGGGTCAATGATGCGAATAAACTTCCGCATTTAGAACCGGGATGGGCCAAAACAGACCAGATAGCCAAAGTTTCGGGGTTCGTCTCCGCAAACTTCTGAACTCGGCATCTAGTAAAGCTCGTTAGGTCCGCATAGACTGGGCCATGACTGTCTAGGTATATGGAAATAAGGGTCTGTCATGTTAATTATTATGTTTTCGGCTTACTCACGTAACTGTTTGGCGAGAAACTCTACTAGTTTCAAGCCATGCTAAAGGCTCATACTCATGAGGCGCATTCCGCTACATGCGACGCGGCGACTGTCGCGCTGCTACTCGCTGCTGTCTACTGCTGAGTAAGCCGAAAACACAATAATTAGTTTACTATGTCTAGCGAAAGGTCTGTCATGTATTGACGATGTATGTGATTGTCTCCAGTCGTCGATCCACTCGCGCACGGCGTACGTGATCAGCGCGGTGGTGGCGGCGGAGAGCAAGGAGAGCGTGCTCACTCGCTGCGAGCGACTCGTTGAACATCTGCACGACTACCCCGAGGCCAGGGACTATGCCATCAAGGTACGTCATACGAGGGACCCACAGTGCACAATGTTACAGGCGCGCTACCGCTTAGATTCGATCTGATCATCAAAACACTTGAAACCATATGAGTACTGAGTAGTGAGTAGGTACAATAAAAGTATAAAATATAATCTTGTAAGTACGTAAGTCTACATTAAAGGAATGTAAACTTACATACATACATACATAACTTCACGCCTGTCTCCCATGGGGGTAGGCAGAGACTAAGGAACGCCAATTACTACGATTCTTACATACCTCTTTCGCTTCATTAACAGTCATCAATCTTTTCATGCATGCTCGTCGGTTAAGGGTACTTTTAAAATGTAATGAATGTAAACTTATGTTTCTGATTCATAGTATTAGCAGTAGTGACGTCATACGTCAGTTTGTTTTGATCTGATACTTATGTTAATGTGCGTGCGATGTGTTTAATGTTGTACGTCGTATCTGAAGTTATTATTGTAGACAAACACTGATAGTGAGCGCCCAGCTCGTGCATGTGCTCCACTGTCGACAGTTCGATGCCAAGTCAGCCATGTTGTACTGTTGTAGTATAGATATGTAGCTAGATACAGTACAGTACGCACCTAAATAGTATGTACGCCGTGGCCTTCACAGATGTTGTTTGCAAAGAATTTGCACGACGCGTAATAATCGTACTACAGAAGCACAACATATAATTATCTCTCTCGTTAATGTAGCTAATGTTGCTGGCATCCGCGTGTACGATGTTGCGTAGAGTTGTCCTTCTGTATGTAACTGTACGTTGCGGTGACACTGGCGCGGCGGGAAACGTGCGAAATGTTTCCGCGTCGCGATTGTTTAATTTATTGCTACGAGTGGGTCACGGGCTACTGAAATAAATGTTATTATTATTATACAGTAATGTACGTTACAGTAGCGGGTCAGCTAGATGTAAATAACACACGCACATTGTCTCGTTACGAGCGCAGTGTTGTTGTGGTGTGACGTCATTACACAGTGCACTGAGTGCAACCAGTGACGTCATACAAGAAATGACGTCGACTGCCCGTACACACGTGTGTACAATGTGAGTGTACCGTGTGTCCGTGTAGTACACGAGTGTGCTATAGTCCCGTGTCCCCCCGCAGGAGGGCGCGGTGCGCGCGCTGCTCCGGGTGCAGCACGGACTGGACGCGCAGGAGCCGCTCGCGCGCGACATACACGGCGTCGTCAACGAGGTCAGTACCGAGGACTGTGTGTGTGTTGTATACTGTAGCAGTGTGCGTGTGTACTGAGTGAGTGTGTGTGTAGGCGCTGGCGCTGGTGGGGTACTGCGGGCCGCCGCGGGGCCCGGGGCCAAACATACTGGCGCTGGACGGCGGCGGCATCCGCGGCATCATCGCCATAGAGATGTTGCGCCACCTCGAGCGACTCACCGGCCGCCGCGTCACAGAACTCTTCGACTACATCGTCGGCGTCAGCACCGGCGCCATCATTGCTGCCGTGCTCGGCAGCGGCGCCAGCCTGGACACCGCCCGCCACATGTACTACACGCTGTCCAGGGAGATGTTCGGGAACACGTCGCTACTGGGTGCGTAGTACTAGCTGCGTGTGTATAGGATACTGGTACTGGCATCTGGCAGTCATACTGACAGTGGTACAATGCTGCAGGAGGCGGCGCGCGACTGGTGTGGACCCATTCGTACTACGACACGGCGGCCTGGGAGCGCATGTTGCAGGACAACCTCGGGGACTGCACGCTCACGCAGTGCAACCGGAACAACGCGCCCAAGGTACGTATGCGGGCGGGCCGGGCCGGGCCGGTGGTACCAGGCGCGCAGGCCGGGCCGGTGGTACCAGGCGCGCAGGCCCGCGCGGAGGTGTACAGAGCGCGCGTGTTGCAGCTGGCGGTGGTGTCGTGCGTGGTGAACGCGGGGTCGCGGCTGACTCCGTTCCTGTTCCGCAGCTACGAGGCGGGCTGGCGCCGCCGCAGCGTGTTCCCGGGCACGTCGCGCGCGCGCCTGTGGGCGGCCGTGCGCGCGTCGGCGGCGGCGCCCACGTACTTCGACGAGTTCCGGCTGGACGGGCTGCTGCACCAGGACGGCGGCATCATGGTCAACAACCCGGCCGGCGTGGCGCTGCACGAGGCGCGCCTGCTGTGGGGCGGCGCGGGCGCGCGCGGGGGGGCGCTGGTGTCGCTGGGCACGGGCCGGGCGCTGGCCGCGCGCTCCGACTACCGCCGCATGGCGCCGCGCGACGCGCCCGCGCCCACCTCCTGGAAGGACAAGTTCAACAAGATCCTCGACTCCGCCACCGACACTGAAGGTAACCGCCGCGCCCTCTTGCGCTCCTGGTACATTGTACAGACGGTTACTCCAACATGTCAATGTATTGAGGATGTCTAGTGTCCTGATCTAGAGTGTTGTAATAAAAGCTACATTTACTAAGTTTGGAGAAATTCACATTTAACATCCTCCTATTCCTCCTTCAGTTCTTCACCCTGTTTTAGCTGTCCACTCACGGGTCAGGACCATCAGCGACCGGCCTGTTGCCGTAGTCCCATCAACAGTTTCCATAACAAAGAACTATTCCAAGCTGTATTCCCCGCGTCGTGCTGTCTCCAAAGCATTGACTCGCTGGTCAGTCCATGATGTAATGTACCTACGTGTCTCCCCAGGCGTGCACCAGGTCCTGAACGACTTGCTCCCGGAGGGCAGCTACTTCCGCTTCAACCCGCCGCTGATGCAGGAGTGCGCGATGGACGAGATCGACTCTGCCAAGTTGGACAGTATGGTGGTGGACACGGCGGCGTACATCCGCCGCAACCAGTACAAGTTCCAGCGCGCCGCCGCCATGTGACTCGCCCGCGCCCTCTGCTGCAGCGAGCTATCGACCTCGCCACGCACCGCGCGCAGCTCGCCGGCGCGGTCGCCTACTGACGCAGGGACAGCGCTGTGGCGAGCCAAACTCTGCAGTAGCTCGCCGCAGCGACCGACCACACTGTGATAGTGACGTTTAGTGTTGGAGTTGTACACTCCGTACCTCCGAGTAGTGACAATGTTTAATGCTGGACTTTTCCACGGGAAAAGTAGCTTGGCATTAAGTTGCGCTGAATGTTGTAGTTAAGTATAATAATGAAGCAATATTATAGTTTAGTTACGAGTGTTCACATACAATGTGTCCACATCGAATAGTGTCACACACACATGTATACATATAGATATTATTGTAAATACTTCCTCTAGCTAGTACATGGTAGTGGCGGCTGAATGTATTCCTCGGTATGTGCTCGCTACACACTGCGTGTACTAGTATATACATTGTCGCGCTGTAGTTTACATAATGTTGGTATTGTCGAGTAAAGTGGAGTTATTGTTAATTATTTGCATTTGATATCGTTAGCTATCGTAATGTTAAGTCGTTGATGTTATAATATTATAAGCTTGACGTAGCGAGCCACTCTAGTCATACACACACATACATAATACACACACACACGACGTAGTGACTACAAGTCAGTAGCTGTAGTAGTAGGTAGTGAAACTTTGTACAGATTTTGTTAAATCAGCAAATGTGATAATAAATGAATATGATTCTCTATGCCGTCTGGTTACTGCCCTCTAATCTCCTACTTACCTACATCACATGCGCATCATCATTATAATTATTGCATTCATGCGTATATGACAAGACCGAGCAGATAGCAAAGTTGCTTATGTGTGGCGTTGCTATTAATTTTTCCAAGGCGTGATGATCTCGACACCTATCAAAAGGATTGGCCACAGAAATCTTTACGAAGAGAAGAGTGGAAGGGTAGGGAGACCTTTGTCCTGCAGTGGGACGACCCCTATACTTTTTATACTCTTTGGGGACGACCATGGCGAATAAAGAAGGCGTGACATATCACCCTGGTGAGGTAGATGGCAATGACGTCTGTCTGTATATGTTACCTCGGATCAATTCGGTAGGGAAAACCTTGTAAGAGTCGGATCCTCGTCCTCGGGTTACAACCAGATAAACTTGCGATACTTACACACGTTGGTCCAAGACACGAATAAATGTACACTTTGCACAATGTGCTGCTGGAATTTGAACGAGTTTAAATAACATGTGTTTCTCATACAGATAAACTAATGACGTGCATCATAATCGTAACGCGAGTAGCGAGTCAGAGTCAGCTATCTATTTATTAATTAGCAATTATTCGCTAATTAGCAAATAATTGAAAGCGTAATACTAGCGACTGATCCTTGACTCGTTACATAACAAGTACAACTCGAGCCTCGTCGAGGACGCGTCGACTTGGAGAACTGTCGGAGCACAATGTTTGATACACACAGTTGACACAGTATACAATAGTACCGCGAGTGGTCGCAAGGTGACTAGCGGGACTTACTTATACTTTCACTTGTGACGCAGCGCGCTGTAGCGGGTACATCACAGGGGCGTTTTCAACAGAGAGAACTTTCGTGAACTATACTATATGAATCAGTACCTGTTTGACGAGGAACTCGACTGATAGTGGATACAGTTCAATCAAAATATGATATCAACAACGTCTTTAAAAGAACCGTTCAATAAGGCAAAGGTAATGTCTAGCCAGTCTGCTACTCATAGACTGCAGTGTGGAGGCTCCGTATCTGAAAGGACCACTTAGGTTTGGTCTTTGTGCCTTGTGTATGATTGTGGCCGTGTCTGTGGTCACTGGCACGTAGCCCCCACTGTGGGGGGGGGGGCAGCTCGTTAACATTCTCGTCATACTTTCCCTTCCACCAGCCGACACCAGCGCGCCAGTATACTACTGTCTGCCGAGATACTCGCTCGTGTGTCTGTGTATATACCTCGCTGTAACTTGACGCGGGAACATCGAGTGTTGGTGCAGTGTGTCGGGACATGCAGTGCTGCAGATATATCGTAGCGATGGTAGGTACCGTGCATTATACTGTACAATACATTCGTGTTGCAGGACAGTGGTTGTATAAGTGTATGTGTGTGTTGTGAAACTGTGTGTGTGTCATGTAACATCACTGGCAGGGTCGCCACCACCGAGTGATGTAACAATGTACCACTGTGCCTAGCTCAGCTATACTAATGTGCTCAATCTCCCTCAAGGTGCATGACCTAGTTCGTAGCTTTCAAATTCAAAATTATTTGATACCACAGAACGCGATTACCTCGTGCGTTGTGTAAAAATAAAAAATATCTAAAGATAGGGAACTAGGCACAGATAGGAGTGTAATAAACTAAATACTTAATCATTAGCTATGGACGATACTTATGTATACCTACGATAATACACATTTTTTTAGCGCGGGCAAAATCCTACATTGACTTCTCTCGCCTTGGGTTAGGCGAGAGGACACTTACTGACTAAAACTACCCCGTTCCTTCTCCTGCTTTTCGAGCCGGAGCCCAGGGAACCCGTTAGGCCTTCCGCGGCTCCGTATCGGGCATCAGCCCTACTGGGTATATACACATATTAAGCGTTGTTCAAATCGGGGTGACCAGATCAACACGATCTAGTCACTATCTCGAAGATCTAACACAGTCAGTCGCCTGTGTACAGACAGCAGTGTATCGGTCTCATTAAATATCGGTGGTAGGTCATTGACACATCCTCACTTTTCCTCTTCGATGACCGTACCTGCATTTGTTATAGCTACTGCTCGCTAGATGGCACTAGTAGTAGTAAACACACTGTTATCTGCTGCTAGGTTTATATCAAGACTAGTGCCTAGTCTAGCTATGTCTAGTGTTCAAGGCAACGGTAGTGCTAATTGTTGACAACATTCTGTACACAGTCTGTCCACTTCGGTTCGGCACATGATTTTTAACACATCTCATTACAAAATGTCCAAATATCCATACCAACTACTATACCAATAGGTACTTTTGATACTTTTCTGTACACGGCGATACTTTTAGGAAACTTTGTCAATGTCACCGACTGAAATTAAAATAATAAGTAAAGTACCTAAATAAAGTAGGTAGGTACCGACTACTTGCATCTTACAGGTGATTTATTAAGGTATTCGGTGCCTACTAAGGTTGACGAACTTAATGAACGTGCAATAATCAAAAAGCGATCTCTTGCAAGAGAGAAGGTTACTTGATAAGTAGGGTAAGTACTTCATAAAGGTGGACGCACACTTATCCGCACCGAACGTGTCGAACGTGAAACCTCGACCACTTCCCCTCGTTGAATCGTTCGAATGCGAAATGTTCCAGCGTGTGTAACTTCGGCTCGGATAATTACCCTCCCCTTCCCTAATCTCCCCAATCCCTGAATCCCCAACGATCCTCAAACTCCTAATCCCTAAATGGCCGGTAACGCACTTGTAACGCCTCTGGTGTTCCAGGTGTCCCTGGGCGACGCCGATTGCTTACCATCAAGTGATCCGTTTGATCATTTACCGGTTTATGCCATAAAAAAAATAAGTGTGCGTTTACCTTAATGAGTATAACAAAATATACCTAACTACCCGGTTGGCACTGGAATACAGGGTAGGCATCAGTTTCTGCGTCACCTGCCTCCGGTTCTATACTCACGGAATAAAATGTTATTCTTTCGTGAGAACAAACACTGGTATTACCTATTATTATATACATATTCCGTATTGTACGTTACAGATGTTGGTGTTGGCGTGTATGTTGGCGGCGGCGGCCGGCACTATACCGCAGCCACGCGCGCCCAACTTCCAGTACTTCGAGAGGTAGCCACTGCCGCACTACTCATATCTAAGTTTACATTATACAACTTATAACTAACTCTATCACACACCACACAGTGTTTATCCAGTTGTGTTGTTTATACGAAGAGCAAAAGCTAAAGATTGAGCTCAGTGCCGTACTACTGGGAGAACAGGCCGATAAAAGTATCATGGACATGTGGTGATGTGTTATATGGATAGGGAACTCTTATTACATGCTAAGTAAAGAACACAGAGTAAGAATCCAATGAGAAAATGTCGATTCAATTCATCTCTTTAATTGTACAGGTAACTGTAACTGGCTAGCTGCAGAACTGAGTCTGATGTCATTACTATGTTACGTTGCAGGCCCAACTACCGCTACCCGTACTACGACGAGAACGGCAAGGGCAAGCTGCTCTACGGGTACGGCGGACCCGAGCTCTACCAGTACAAGTCCTACTCGCCGCTAGAGGGAATCTACTGACATCATACGGTTCATTAATGTTGTAGGTTTATTAATTATTACCAGTCAGTGTATGGCATGCTTGTACTGTCGTACGAGCTCGGTGGGGAGTCTCATAGTTTTGTATAAAGTATTTTTAATGTTTTCTATTTAGTTGTATTGTAAATAAAAGGTTTATAAATAGACAACTACAGTTTTCCTTTCTTATATGTACTCGATTTGTTAATATCGATTTACCTAGTTGAGTAAACTGCGATAGGTAGTTCCGCGTATTAGTCAAATATTTCGCACATTCACACAAAGTAGTATTTATTGCCAGTACATTTATAATATTAACAAGAACTTATGAAGATGTCGCGTCGATGTAAATAAATCACAAGTCTGTAATATCCTTGAACACATTAGCTCATCAAACAGTAGTGTTTGCGCTACATCGAGTACTGAGCGAGTACTACGCAGTGTGTAGTGTACTGGTGCATAGTCAGTAGTTACTGGTCAGTAGTGCAGGAGTGTGGACGCAGTGAGCATGAGTCGCGTGTTGTTGGTGTGTGTGTGCGTGTGCGCGTGTGTGCGCGCGAGTGGCGGTGTGTGGGTGCGGTCCAGTTTCTGGGCGCCGCTAGTGGACCGCCGCATCCTCAACTACCGCGTGGACGCTCGCTTCCAGCCCGACGCTGCCCGCCAGGGGAGGGAACAGTATGCAGCGCGCTACGGGTACAGGGGAGAGAAGCTCATTGCTGATATTGGGAATGGGAAGGGACTTTCTGATGAGCCCAGAGACACACAGGTAATACAAGGACAGGAACTAAGTAAAACTAGGAATCTAACCTTTTCAAAAAGAAAATTATAATGGGGATGACGATGGGGTATGAAAATTAAAAAATTATTACGTTATTACAGTTAGGTAGTGAAAAAAATGAGACACGTATTTTTTTATATTGTTGTATATAAAATAATACTTAACAGATAAAACGAATCAAAGTTCAGGAGTGGGGGCTGAAACGTCATTTCTATGTTTAAAATTTGCATACAAGTGACGTCACGCGACATTACAAATCAATACATCGCCGAAAGTATTTGTTTCTTTAAGAAAATGAAAAATACGTGTCCAATTTATTTAAATAATCTACCAGACGGAAATAAAAATTAGTCGTCTACCCTATTATCCACATGTCACTCACACACTCACTTTACTAAAATGACTGAATTTATTGTGTTTCAGATGTATGGAGATGTTAAATTTCAATACACTTGAGCGGTAGCCTGGATGGTTCCAGTAATTAGTACTCATGGTGTAATAATCATCACTGAGTGGAACTAGAGTCTGCCCACAACTGTACATCATTTACTGTTAAGTTTTTGTTTAAATAAATAATGTGTAAGTACAAACAAAGTGTGAGAGATTGCAAACATTTATTTATCACATCCTTAACCCTATCTTCCACAACATACTCCGCACTGACTCCGTACTATATCCGTCTCTTCTGTGTGCTGATGTAAGCACATTGTTCCCTCGTATGAATGCGTCCCCATACTTGTTCTTGAGCTGTCCGTTCACATACTCCTCGTCTGTTCCAGTGCTATGTTCATGTACCCGTCGAGGCACGCCAGTACACCTGCACACACAAACACATCTTGTTACTTGTTGTACAGGCCTGTACAGGTTTATGTTATAGATATACACATGGTTAGTGTGTTTATAGGTTTTATTATACAGCACAACTGAGGAAGTTGTAGTTATCATGATCTATAACTATGCAGTAGTTAGTAGGGTTTTAATTGAGCTAAGAGCTAATCCTAATTCAGAACAAGCATTTATAAATATGATGAAGTTACCGCGCTGAGACAATGCAATCATCATCAACATTGAACATAACCTTTAAAAGTAAGTTGACAAACATTTGGCGCTCAAGATTACCTCATTGCTCGCAGTTCCTTATTGCCGCGAGCGACAGGTAAATAATAACATATGTAAATGTGGGTTTAACATTCTTTACTACAAAGTGTAGAACTTCAAGGTAAAGTAAATAAACAAACTTACTAACCTCTGTAATCGACGCCACTGTTTAGTTTCACGACGACCGGTCGCCCGTGGATTTGTTGGATGAACGACGACAATGCCTCTTTACGACTCATTGTGTATAATTTATTGGGTTAAGTAGTTTTATTAGAGAGTGAAAATCGTTGCTGTTTCATCAACAGAACTAAACCAAATCAAAACTCTCAGCTCAAATCGATGCCGAATTGCCGAATGACAAGACAAATGGACATTGACATTGACACATGACTGACAGACATTTGAAAATTTTGTATTTTGTAACACTGACTGATACAAAAAATATATTTTGTAACAGAGTTTATAAACTTGAAAGATAAATAGAATGTTTCTTATATTTTTGAGTCAAATTGATAAAAACACAAAAAAGTGTGGGAGGGCCATGCTTCGGCACGAATGGCTCGCCTCGACCGGAGTGATAGCACGGCCTCACAGAAAACCGACGTGAAACAACGCTTGCGTTGTGTTTCATCGTGTGAGACTAGAGATTATCGGCCCTTCAACCCCCACCCCCAACAATCTTCTAATTCCTAATCCCAAAAGGCCGGTAACGCACTTGCAACACCTTAGGTGTCCATGGGCGACGTTGATTGCTTACCATCAGGTGACCCGTCTGCTCGTTTACCGGCTTAAACAAAAAAAAGTTTTCATGATTTGGTCCAAGGAACTGTTACTTAGTATCTTTGGGTAAAAGTTCCTTGTTTTGGTCAGACGAACTAAACAAAAACAAGAGAGTCCGGTGTTGCCAGAGGTGAAACTAAACGCTTATTGCAAATAGGTAATCTTCTGTGCTTTGTTGCAGTTTATTTTCATTTCTATTATATCTCAATTAGCTAAATTAGACTACCAACTCATGAACTACAACATCCCTATGATAATCCATAAATTACGCGAGTTGTTTTTTTTAATTGCCTGTTTCTCCCTCCCCCCTTGGTGAGATTTTATTTAACACCCTACCCCATCCCCTAATCTCACGTGAGATTTTTCAAAATGTTGGTTTTTCACGTAAACGCATTGGATTGTTATTGCAAAAAAAAAAAATCCATGTGCATGTACATACATACAATTAAATCTTAAGCATGTACAATCCTTATCCTTACTAATATGTCGCGGAGAACCTAACGGGTACGGTAGAGAAGGAACGGGGTGGTTTTTAGTCAGTAAGAGTCTGACAATCCCTCCCGCCTTACCAAGGCGGGAGCAGTCATTCGATGATTTTCACCCCTTAAAAAAAAACAAAAAATCCTTACTAATATTATAAATCTGAAAGTGAGTTTGTTTGTTTGTTCCACCTTCACGCCGTAACTACTCAACCGATTGCTTTGAATTTTTGCAGACGTAAAGTTAGAAGTCCAGATTAAATAATAGGGTACTTTTTAACCCGGAAAAAATTGATATTCCCGAGGAAAAACAAAATTATTGGTATAGATGGCGCTGTGTATATTCAAGTGTATTGATATATGTCACATAAGCTACTTTTTATTATTTTGTGACGCAAGTGAAGACGCGGGTAAAAGCTAGTCTGGAATAAATGCACTAAGAAGTCGGTAAAAATAGGATATCTTTTTTGTTTCTATCAGAAAAATAATTATGTGATATTTGCAGAGACCCCTCTCTCTCCAACGTAAGATTAGATGAGATTTGAGTCTACCCCCTCCCCCTTAAAAATACAAATACTATGTACTTACTTTAATTCATTTAAGATTCTTAATTCTTCAATTTGGAAGAAGAAAATAAAAGAAAATTGCAAAATATATTTGTTTAATGTTTACATTTACAGAATTAAACAATAGGCTATAACAGAATTACTAGGTGCTTATTAACTAAGAAATGATGCAATAGATAATCGCTATGAAGTATTGGTAACAGTATTAGTATTAGTCTGTGTCCTCTCTTTGGGCTCGAGTGAAGTCCATATGTACCCGCTGTAGTTGTTGACCTCGGTGTCTATGAGTGGGTACGGGCAGGTGTTGGCCTTGTAGTAGTCGGACGGAGCGTGCATCACAAACTCCATCACATCTAGCTTGCGCGGCAGGTCCTCCTCAGGGCCTGGAATGATGATATACTTGTCAATATCATGGTTAAGTCAAGTTAAGTTTTGTGAACAAAATAAGGTGACAAAGAGAACAGCATGGGTTTGTAATAAAGTTTCACTTACCAATGATGTATGTAGCGGGGTCAAAGCATTGTTCAGGAGGTGGGCTGGCCTTGGTGGGCAGTAGCCAGGTGACCACAGCACTCTTCTCACAGTACTGGTCAGTCATGAAGCCGCGGATCTGGGCGTAGTATATGCCGCCCTCAACGTCTGTCATGGACACGATGTCGCCCACCTGCATGTAGTTGCCTTTGTAGAAAATGGAGTCACTCGTCACCACAGTCGGAGTGGCTGTCGGTGCTTTCAGTGGTTGTCGTTTGAATATACTGCGTCGCCCGCGGCCGCGCGCTGCGGGAGTTTTCGATGATGGCGTCGGCGCGGGTGTCTTAGCTTTGTACCGCGTTGATCGTGTGCTTTTCCTAGTTCCCTTTCCAGTGGCTTTTGCAGGTGTAGTTTCTCCCTCACTTTTCCCGTTCTTGCTGTCTGCATCATCTTTGTCGTCTTTCTTCTCATCAGAGTCCGGTACGATGCTCGATTCAGGCTTACCTTCTTTGCTAGCTGTGTTAGAAAGATGACACTCGTTACAAATCTGTCCGTTTTCGGCCGAGCGCCACAGCAGGGAGTCGTTGCTGCTGCATTGAACACAGGTTGGTTTCGGCATCGTGATAAGTATATATTTAGTCAGTTACTAAATATAGTTTATAGACATAGCATAGTAGAAGTGAAAATTAGGCGCGGATGAGATTATACAAACAAAATATTTACAACGCGACGCTCAACTCAACGGCACATTCGTGTGACACTGACACTTGTATTATTTGTCAATGTCAGCCTGACAACTTAGTTCGTTACACGCATAAGATCGTACTTGTCATTCAGAAAAATAGAAAAAACTTTTTATGCTTTAGATTATTATTCCCATGTTAAATAAGTTTTTTTATTTCTCTTAAAATAAATAAAGAAATCTGTTTTTAGTTATGAAAGAAACAATAGTACTTGTTTAAATAATTCATAGTAACGCCCTCTTTTGTTGAATAGCTTTAGGATGAGTGATGGAAAATATTGTCACTAGATGTCTCTTAACACCGGTGACAGAAAATATTTGTTACAAAACATAATTAATTTTCTTTATTCATTATTTTTTTTACATACAAATTACATTAATTACGATTTTGTCGAGACGAGATCAAAATAATGGCAAAAAGTAATTTAATGGTTTTATTATATAAGTAGACGTGCTTCGCTATCCTGCCTGAAGGAAAGCGACGATACGGCCTACGACGGAGCACGTCTGCCCATTTAGCAACCTATTCACTTGGGCCTTGAAGAGACCCAGGTTATGCCCTTCAGAAAATACAGACTCTGGTAAAGTGTTCCATTTCTTTACTCTTCTCTTTACTCTTTACTCTCTACTACTTCACAAGAAAACTTGAAGCGAAATCTAACATACATAAATTACGGTGATGTCTGGTAGTGCGGTGCCTGCGATGATAAAATGGACTGTGTGTGCAATTTCCGAAATGTATACTATAAAAGATCGATTTTTTTTTTAATACTTTTTCTTCATTGTTTCTTTTGATTTAGTGGATATTTCAAGATTTAGTCACTTTGAAAAGTATCACTTGATGATAGACATCAAAATTATGCTATTTATTTCTTTTTATTTTTACAAACAATTATTTGATCATTTTGTAAATTAAAGCATGCAATAACGAGTAGTCAGGGTTAAGACATGCAACGATGTCGAGAGATATTTGTGGTTATTTTGTAAAATAGTACGAGAATTGGTAATTTTGAGAATTTAAATTTTTGGCTGCAATTTTCTGCCAATTCGTGGACCACATGTAGCTGTTTCACGCGGGAATCGAACCCGTGACATGTTGTGCAGCCATTGTCCTTTTCGTTTAGATAGTTGTATAGAGAAAGAGTATAAGAGGAGGATAGGAACAATCATGATTAAATTTATTGAAACGTCTTCAGTGCAGTTACAAACCTCGTCTAGTCTGAGTTGGCTCCGCCCGCGCCGCGTCGCACCGTCAAACATTGTGAACTGTGAGAGAGTGAGTGGCTCCTCTGTATGATAATAAATAATCTGTAGCCACTCTATATTCTCTAGCCAGCATTGTTTAACACCGGGTGGAGCTTTATGGGCCAGTTATGAATCACTACGAGTGCCGTAATTAGCAGGCGGCGCGAGTGCTAGTGAATTACGAGCGCTCGCCGCGCTATCTGGCGGCCAGTAGCGGCACGTTCGCACTGTTTACGTACCGCCGTGCTGCCGCGACTGGACATCAACGATTTATGTTCGCTACGAGACTTGCTGAAACAGCTGAACCCAAGTGTTATCATCACGGCTACACGCTTCAGTAATTTACATTGCCATAGTCATTCTACGCACGCAGAGAGTAAGCGCTTACAAAGTACCCAATTCATTGTTCTGTTTTGTTGCTCTCATTAAAATTATTTATTTCAGTCTCTCATAATTTGATCAACATAATTATACAAAGATTATACGGAATCCGTGGTGAATACTACAATGGTAAGTCCCGGTATAAACTAAATAATGAGGTCTCAATTATAAGTTGTCAACAATACAGTGACACGTCACACGCCGCGCGCTGGTCGCTCGACAAACTTTTAACGAGGGGATTTTGCAAGTAGTTGTACTGTGCTGCTACTATCTATATCTAGTTAGTGATGTACAGAAGGATCAAACAAAGACAATGTGTAATATTTGGGTTGTTATTTGTTATTGGACTTTAAAAGCATTACTAAATAATGCCAAAGTCTGGATTCTAAGTATATAACGTTGACCAATACTTCATACACTCAACCTTTACAAGTTCTTAAAGCTACGAAGCCATCTATGTTACTCTCGAAGGGAAATACTGAGAAGCGCAGAAATAACTGTTGGTAGCACCAATTTCAGGGCATGATTTTGACTAGGCTTGCGTAGTTCGCGAACGAACTATCGTTAAGAGTCATAAGAGTCATAAGAGTCCTATTCAAAAGAGCGCTCCCACATTCAAAATATGCGAACTAGTTCACATCATTCCCAACTCCTTTCTTCGTATTTCAAAGTACAAGTACAAGGATTGTGAAGTCGTTTATGTGTATAGTCTATGGTGAAGACCGAACTAAAAAATGCGATAACATGATCTCAGTCTTAAATTAATAAGTTTACTGTGTGTTAATTTTAATTATTTTTATAGTAGAGGTATATATTAGTTGAATAATAATTGATTAAGTAATTAATTTATTATTTATTATATAAGTTTATTTTGACGACTGCTTCTCTGTAAAGGTGGATCACTGGATACATTTCTGACAGGGCAATGGGAGACAGTTTACAGGTATGTGAGTATAAATAACAAGACAGAGTTCGTGGTAGAGGTTTATTCGGCGCGAGGCAGTGGTCGCCTCGCGGCACTGTCGTCAATTAATAAGTTATACTTTTCCTCTAGACTTCTAGAGCGTGTAGTGCGAGTTGTTCAGTAATTCGATTTATTATTTAGTATTTTTCGGAATTCTTGTACTGTCGCCGTCTCGTCTCTAACGTTAAAGCGATTGAATCGATAATAAATTCGAAGTAAGCACTCTAGTAGCGCGCCACACTACACGCACCATGGTGGCGGTGCAATACAACAACTCATAGAATTTAACACAATGATAGTAAACAATCATTTTATACAGTAAGTAACATTGCAGTATTTATTTTTATTAAGAGCAATAATAATCAGTTAATAAATAAGCATTTACATAAAACTATAATTAGAGCTTTCTAGTTGCGCCCTAACATAAGGCAGGCAACACACGTTGCCTGCGAGTGTCTAAATCATTTATAGGTAAACTAGCTTTTACCCGCGGCTTCGCTCGCGTCACAAAAGGATAAAAAGTGGCCTATGTGACATATACCAATACTTTTGTTTTCCCTCGGGAATATGAAATTTTTTAGGGATAAAAAGTACCCTATTATTTAATCTAGACTACTAACTTTACGCCTGCAAAAATTCAATGCAATCGGTTTAGTAGTTACGGCGTGAAGTCGGAACATACAAACAAACAAACAAACTCACTTTCCGATTTATAATATAAGTAAGGATTAGACATAAGTTGCTCGAAAAATTCTATAAATTGTTGCATATTGTATTAAATTGTACAATAAAATGAATGTCACATAATTATTAGATACCTATTAATAAAATTATTTACAACGCATCATTGCAGCGACATCAGTTAGGTACTAGTCGGAAACAGTGAGTTCTATACAAGTATACAATCGGTTAGAGTTGGGTGTACAGGGTGCTTACTCTTGAAACCAATCTCAATGTCAATGCAATTTCAATCCAATAAAATCTCAATAATTATACAATGTCAAAACTATACAACCCCTGTCTTAGCTGTTAAAATAGCATTTAGAGTATAGAATATAAAACTAAACTTAATACCATTTAGTTCATTCAATATCCACGCAATACGGATGCAATGGGCGCTAGTGTTGCAACTCAAGAGTACGAAATTTCACAATACCAATGTCGATCGATCGGAATTGGATTCAAGAGTAAGCCCCCAGGTCGATACTTAATACTCATTGACAGACAGAATATTAAGTATAAGTAGTATTTACCACCATAAAGTTTATTTCACAGAACAACAAAAAACATCAATTGGGAGAAGCCATTCGACACTTGGTGGAGTTATACAAATAGTTTTTATGCATCCATTTCTATTGAAGCAGATAAACAGGCCAGGCCGCACTTGGCTCAAGGGGCCTCAAACCCAGTAGAGAGTAGAGTTGCCACCTTTTTTTACCCGACTGCCAAAGAAGGAGGGTAATGTTTTTCGAGTGTATGTAAGTATGTATGTATGTCTTTTCCTTTGTGACCACCTGTAGCCTAAACGGCTTGATGGATTTTGATGTATGAGGTATCGTTAGATTTGTCTTGATTACGGGAGTGTCATAGGATACATTTTATCCTAAAAGTCCCACGGGATAAAGACATAATAATATTTTTTCTAAATTTCCCTTTAAAAAAATATGTATGCGGTATCATTAGATTCATTTCAATCACGGGAGTAATTAATATAGGATACGTTTTTTCTCAAAATTCCCACGGGAACATGTTAATTCTGCGTCAACGCAAAGCAACTCATGCGTTAGCAAGCAAAAAGATAGGGCGTGGCCTGGCATGCGGCGCGCGGCGCGGTGCGGAGGGGATATGCTCGAGTATACAGCCCGATTGCGGGCACACGCATGAGGGCACACGTCGTTGACGATAGTCTTCTACATCTACAACATTTTCGTTAAATAAAAACAGCTAAAAAGTTATAAATAAAAAAATTATTATTAAAAAAACAAAATACCCGACTGCACACTAAAAAAAGAGTAAAACAAGCCCCACAATAATATTGATCAATCAAATGCTAAAAACTAATTATGTAATACCGTTTAAACAATACCTATATTAAAATACACTACAATATGTGTTCGTAATCGATAGTTAAATAAACAGAAACTTATTTTGAATACAAATTTACTGAATATAATTTATAAATGTTGATGGAAAGCATCGCAGGGGGGACCACCTTGACCGCCACCAACGAAAATTCTGCTAAATGGTGCACAACCGAAATGACTATAAATAAGCCTCTGTTGGTCCCCGCCTGCGATGCTTTCCATCAACATTTATAAATTATATTCAGTAAATTTGTATTCAAAATAAGTTTCTGTTTATTTAACTATCGATTACGAACACATATTGTAGTGTATTTTAATATAGGTATTGTTTAAACGGTATTACATAATTAGTTTTTAGCATTTGATTGATCAATATTATTGTGGGGCTTGTTTTACTCTTTTTTTAGTGTGCAGTCGGGTATTTTGTTTTTTTGATATCTAAAGTACATTGACGATGATAGGTAAGAAAAAAAAGTACACACTACAAAAATAAAGTACAATGTATTCTTATTTAGTGTTCTATTTAAAAATATATTTTTTATTGCTTTTTGTAGTTTGTATTGAATTAGTATCTTTAGCATCTTTACTAGATATTGTCTAAGTGGCGTTGGCGATCTAAATCGATTCAACATAAATTGATAAATATCGATTTCGAATCAATCAATAGGTTTACCGAAAAATACTTACGACTTTAATAGAAATGAAGTTTGCAAAAATAAAGTATTTTCGTGTACTTTATTATTCTTATAAAGTATAGAGTACAGTTGCCTTAAATAACGTACAATACTTTATTATAGAGGTACAGTACGGGTGGCAACCCTAGTAGAGAGTGAAAATTTTTCTTTTCTTCTGTGATAATAATTGGGGCTTGTTAGACAATCTAATTAGGCAGTTAATCCGACACTGAAAATATAAGTATCGACCAATAAGTAACATAATGACATATTTTCGACAAACAATGCGCGGCGCGGGCGACGGGAATGTGAGAGAGTGTCGGTGGTTACAAGTTACGAGTAATGTTACGTGAAGAGTCGTCGGCCGCCGCGCACTGCTACACTTACATACATATCAACAGCTGTACAATACAAGGCAAGTTCATTCACACAGACTTATTTGATAAAACAATAATTTTATTCTTACAATCTATTATTATGTCGTTATCACAAATATTCACAATCTCGTGGCGTGTATAAATACTTAGTCAATAGTGACGGCACCGGGTACAGCGCGTCAGTTGCAGACGTGTGTCTCGGTGCGCGCGACGCACGTGTCGCATGTGACGCGGCAGCACCAGTGGAAGCGGCAGCGGCACTTGGACTCCAGCACGCGCCGCACCGTGCTGTACCCGCGCCCGCAACACAGCGACTCGCACCCGTCGTCGCCTGCAACACGCAACACACTCTCAATAACGACGATTTTGGAATAAAATATATACCACATATTTCTAAACCTTGCACCTTCTGAAACAATAAAATCACATGATTGCTAGTGGGTTAGAATCCCAAAACGCATAATAATCATTAAAAGAATAAGAAAGAAATATATCTATCCATTGGTTTTGCAGGAGACATAAAGACTTTGAGGAAGGATCCAAAAAGGCCATATCTACTACCATAGATAAGAAAGAACCAATGGCTTATTGAATACTAGACACATTAATCCTGGCGTTACCTCTGGAGGTTCTGTTGCAGACGCGCGAGTGTGTCCCGAATGACCCCACCGCGTCGTCTCGCTCGCAGTACGAGGGCGACGGCTCCAGGAACACGAGGTCCGACTTGCGCGGCACCCGCACCACGCCCGGGTTCTGCTTCTGTCTGTACCGTACAAATGTTCAACTCAATACTTATAATCTTGTACTAATGTAACTGCAAAATGTGCCGAAACATTGTGATCTAAAATGTTGTATTGAAAGTAAATAAGAGTGAGACCTCCGCACGAGCACGAGGTGCGTGTGATGCGGCGGTTGTTGGCGCGCGTGTCGCTGCGGGTGCGGCGCGACGAGCTTGGCGCGGTCGTAGCGGTCGCGCAGCGCGGCCGCCGCCGCGCGGAACTGCGGCAGCGCGCGCCAACACGTGCGCACCGCACACGACCCCGACACGCCGTGGCACTTGCACTCGCGCCGCACCAGGTCCTTCACTATCTGCACCAACACACACACACACAATTATACAATGTTAAACTCTAACACCACGGTATCAAAGCCTAAAATACTAGAACGATTAATCTCTCATCACCCGGTCTTTGCATCCATTAGCATGCCACGTCACTGATCTCGATCTCCAGCTCACCGTATCCAGCCGATGGAAGTCATGTTACTCTACCTAGTTGAAGAGTTGTACCCTACAATACGTTTGCCTAGACGCGGTCTCCACTACAGAACACGCCATCTGCACTATCACTTGAGTTTGCCATACTGCAAGTTATGCCAAATCCTCACACAAATAAGTAAACTCTTCTACTGACCGTTTCGCTTATAAATCTACTTAATCGAATGATTAATTTTGTTTTTACTATTACAAAACATTCGACGATAATATTTGTTACAACAATTTATTTGGCATTTTACTTAACATTTAGCGATGCCTCCTCACAACAGGAGCACAGGGCCGCACTCGGCGGTGCAATGCGGTGACGCAATCACGACTATTCACGACAAACTTCAAACTTCTTGATAATATCTCACTCATTATTTCAGATAGTTTACGCAGACAACTGACAATATATTACACAATATACGACACGTGTCGAACGAGATATTACGGGTGACAATAAAAATGAGTGTTGTGAGTGAATTTTCACGATAATTTTTTTCTTGATCTAAGCATATGTAAAGGACAAAATAAACGAAGACGGATTATAATAAAATAAGTAATCAAATTACAAGAAGTGTGTATTAATTATAGGCAGTAAATAAGAAAACCTATATAATAAAGCAGTCGAGCAAGGCGCCGTCATAAAGATTCCCACACTCGTTTATGACATGGCACGTTATACGTACTACTGCGATAATAGTAAAGTTATTTACACAAAATCAATAACCATAAACCGTGAACAAGCGAACATGCATTACTTTAATAACGGCTGCATTAGCGGAGGATGCACATTATACAGATTGGCGTGTCTCGTCCCACTGCGAGGACTACCAAAAGAGAAACAAGACGCGCGTCGTAAACACGGTAATACTCGTATGATTGCACGGTGGCGTGTGATCGCGAGCCTCGTAATGAGTCGTCCAGTCGTCCACCTTCACGTTTATGCGATACAATTACTAGTTCTGTGGGAATGCTGCGCTCCGAGGTATTGTTACGCATGTCATTATGTTTAACTGGTCCGCGTCCGACAAATGAGTGCAATCAGTGAAACGCATTCCAGCAACATACAGCAGGAGGTAATTGTACCTGACTCTGACTTGATACTTCACGCTGCCTGCGTCTGTGACACTACACATCACTTGTACTTAATGGCTGGGTACACGCAACCACTGGGAGCTTTCTTGAATAATTTTACTCTATACTATTGATGTTATATGCTTTTTAATGTTGTATCTGTTTTTTAAATACGCATTTTGTGCACTTAATGATGTTGACTGTAGATACTATAGAATATCTAATAATTTACCATTAAAGGTTCGTGTGCCAGTAGACGAGGCGCACGGCCGCTACTGCCGCGGGTGATGCGCAGCGCGGTGCACCCGGTCATTCCGTACAATGCGTAATTGTGGCACACTCGTGCATGAGCCGGACTTATCTACTGATACCCTAGCAGTAATGACGGGTGTAGTGTCGGCCGGCACACACTAGTCGCCGGCGGCCGCACGAACCTGATCGATTTCTTCTTTTGCTGACCATTAGATGGACAGATAAAGAGACGGTTTGCGTGTAATGATGTGAGCTTTGAGGCAACCTGCCTGCTACCCGACAGTTATCTATTTTCCGCTACATCTTGCACGCACACTTATCTGGAACTGATCGCAATCGCTTCACTTGCAACATCAGTGAGATAAACAACTGCTGTGTGGACCGCGCTGTGGTTCATTATACACTTGGACACTTCATTTCAAGAATCTGTATTAATAGTGAGCAATCAGAAAGTTTCCCAGTAAGTAAAAGGGCAGCAATCAACAATTCGCATCCTCGTTGCTGTTAACATCATAAGACTGACTGACTGTCTCCTGATATTACTGAGTACACGCAGTGGGCGGTGCTGGGTGACTGCTGAATTTTTCACGGGCGCGCGGGAGTGGCGCCGTAATGTTTATAGTGACGTGCACTTTCACATTCCGACAGGTTGCAGCTTGTTAGTTAACGTGGTCATTAGTGCGGCCCTGGCCGGCCGCAACCACTGCCCACTTCATATTATTACTGATTACGTAAAATTACGTTATTTACTACTTAAATGGCTGCTGGCTAATGAATATGTCCACGAAATGATGCGGAAGCTGCATGACGGAGTATTATTATCTGTTTAATATTCCTACATTAACGTTTATTAGATTTGAAAGTTTTTACTTAAGCTTATAAAATATATCAGCAAGCAACGAAGCGGAGTCATGCAGAGCGCTAGTAGAGTACTGTGGAGGCGGTGGCAGGAAGCGGTTGATAGTGTGCGTGTACCTGGCTCACCTTCCTGCCGACGCGGTTGTTGTGGAGGTTCATGAGAGCGCGCGCATCCCGCTCGAGCTCGCGCGCGTCCAGGAAGCGCCGCGCCAGCCGCGCGCCGTACGCGCCCTCGCCGCACCCGCCCCACTCGAACTGCTCCGACGTCGACGTACCACGCCGTCTGGTAATACAACAAGCTAGATGTTATCACAAGTTTACTTAGAGCATGTCACAAGACAGCTCGCCCCTTGTTTTATACTAGTTCCGCAAGCAACAGAGCATTGCAGTAGTAAGCAGCAATCAAGTAACGAGCACCGAAACACAATATAAAACTTGACGGACTCACCGGTTGGAGGTGCACTGGCAGGCCGGCAGGTCTCCCCGCGCACACGCCGCGCTCAGCGCATGCGTCACACCCGCCGACGTGATCGCATATGTAAACGCTGCCTCCTTTGTAGCTGTAACAACATAACATTTCATTAGATTACTAGGTAACCAAGTAAAGTACGTATGTACGTAAATCATGGCCACTAGTAATGAGTGCTTAACCATATTTTTGCAAATTGCCAAATGTGAGTCCGGCACTGTCGTATAAACGCAGTTTGCATGAATGGCGCCTGTCTATCGAATGATTGAGCAAATGTGTCGAGCGTCGAGTGCTCACTGACTGGTGGTGAGACGTTGTGAGCCAAATGTTAGCGCTGCATATATTAGCGACACGCACTGTCCATACTCCGGCACATGGAGTATAGAAGCAAAGAGTACTCTCTGTGTATGAAAGTATCTGTCAGGCTCCGTCAGTGTTAAAGCAGGAGGTGCCGTTGTACCAAAAGGGTTAAAGAAGCAGTACTGGGAATTTCTTAGTTTATGTATTACTAGCTTTTACCCGTGGCTTCGCTCGCGTCACAAAAGGATAAAAAGTAGTCTATGTGATATATACATACAGCGCCATCTATACCAATACTTTTGTTTTCCCTCGGGAATATCAAATTTTTCCGGGTTAAAAAGTACCCTATTATTTAATCCGGACTTCAAAATTTACGTCTGCAAAAATGTAAAGCAATTGATTGAGTAGTTACGTCGTGAAAGTGGAACAAACAAACAAACAAACTCACTTTCCCATTTATAATATTAGTAAGGATTAGTAAGGATGTGCCTATAGTGTAGAAGTTAATGTAATTGGTTGTAAATAAAGCAGGCTATTGCAGTATCCACAGTAGTCTGACTTATTTATTGTAATTCAATGAACACGCTTCCGTATAATTTCCGTGTGATGGTACTTCTAACTTACATACTCCATGCTTTCTAATATGAACGTATGTCAAATATTATTGTATGTATAGTATGTATCAGAGGTCAGCAATTACTGAAGCAATAATACCGAATGATTGCTAAATGGTGTTCGATTGAGAGTCGAAACTATTCAAGTTATTCAGTACTTAGAATTAAACAATTTAATACTAATATGGTAAAGTTGGGTGGGACTACTGACCTATGGAGAAGACGATTATCATTGCAATATCATTATGATCAATGATACGAGCTTTAGATGCGATACTGAAAAACCCGTATTTTAAAACCGTAATAGAATTAAGTTAAAATATTGTTTAAACGTCAGTGTGCGTGTCACTGGGCGGCACGTCACGCCCCGTCACGTCAGACGTCAGTCGCGGGTATCGGCGACGTCAGACGTCAGACGTCAGCCGCTAAGTTATGCTGAGCCGTGACACGCAGCAAATGCACTGATAGCCGCTGCATACTAAACACTCGCAGTATGAGCGGTGCAGACGGCCCGGCCCGGGGAACCGGTGGGTCGAAATATTACGAGAGCTGTACTCAAAGACTTTTGAAGACTTTAAAGTAAGTTCATAGAACGGCAACTATAAACACGTGATCAGAACATAAATATGTATAGGAAAGTAATAATAATTATATTTCAGATAGCGTATTAATTTAAAGACAGAATGAACATAAAACTGTAAAACGGATATCCCGGTAATATCTATTGTCACGGTCACCTACTCACCGAGTATGACCCGGTGTCCCGGTTATACGAACGGGGTTGATGGTTCTGACGGTTTAGAGTGCTTATTTATAATGTAAGATTTTCCTCATTACAAATTTTATTTTTTGTCACAACCTGCGTATACCCGTGTAAAGGGTCTTACTAAGCTAAATAGTCCAGTTCCCAAACAAACGATGGAACTCCTTCGGTCAGCATTCACTGATACTCTAATGCTGGTCACCATTAGGCTCACCAAGCAGTTCAAGTAAATCATGAATTTGTAAATTGAATTATAGTGGAGTAAGGAACTGAGAATTTCCTCATTTAAGAATAGACAGACTTCGTGCCTATTGTGCTACTGACTGACCAACAGTATGTAATTTTCATTTTCTGTCTGTGTTAAATGAGGCGCTTTGCTTGTACGATGGCTATAAATGAATCAGTAATTCTGTATTGTGTAATTAGTTCTGCGGTTGTAGTGGTGTGTCCTAGTGTCGTGGGAGACAACTCCCGCGCGACAGGTTACAGGCTCGCTGCTCGTACATCGACACAAACAAATAATCGCTCCGTCTCGCGCCTGATGTTGAAATATCGACTCACTAATGGCTGGAGCTGGTTTATTTCTAAATTGATTTCCGTTCTCTACACACAATACGTTACTATTCGATTGTTTATATGTTTATTATCGCCGGTTAGTTTGGGTTCGACGCTAATGTCTTCATTGTCGGGGACGTATATATTGTGGTGTATCTGTGGAGCAGGTGTCGTACTGTGTCACTCCATGGTTGGCTTATCTCTGCTGTATGCGTTGTGACGTCACACGCGTGTGACTCTGACAGTGTGCTGTCTCCGTGGAGTATAAGAATCTATTTAATATTCAAGAGAAGAACTAATACTAATAAATGACTTCTATGACATCTGTGAATCCGCTACAGCAACATTACACTACTTACTAGCAACTGTAGATGCAAATAATAATAAACAATTAGCTGAACTTCCATCCTCTACGAGTAGTCACCAATCAGACCAGTACTCAGTAGTCAGTAGCAGCACATTACAGTACTGGACCAGTGGTCACTGAGCCGGGGGCGACTGGCACTGATTGTACGTTGAGCTGCCAGTAAACAGTGGTTCATTACTAATGTACGTCTGATTACTGCTTGATTACAACCTGTCGTCCTCCACCATTGCTGAGTTACGGTACATGTTACAAATACAGTTCTTTTGATCTTCATTCTATGTTTTCCCACGACAGAGCTACGGTTGAGCGCAAATATTGAATTAATTTAATGTCATCTATTACATTGCCGTTTTAATTAAAACATTTATTAATTTCTTCCAATGAGAAAGTCCTGTTGAAAAGTGTTCACAATGTAATGTGATTTCCTTCAATGAATCAATATAACTCACGTCTTCGTCGGCTGAGTTCAGATGACTTGCACATTGCTGACAAATAGCTCGCCATGAATCAGATGTAAATGTGTAAGTACTAACATATTCTTCATTAATATAATAAATATTGCTACAGAAGCAGCGTCAATCAATTGATTGTATTGAATACAGATTACAATCTGTATGCCTGTCGCAAGAGAGTTCGGATTGGATGCGCTAGGTGTAGTCTATACAGTGCATTGTGTATCTGATGCTCCGTAATCTGAATGGACATTTCATTCATTACATCGTGTTTTGGAGTGTATGGGTAGAATTTAGTATCGGCCTCCTTTAGCAAAAGAGTAAAGACATTTGCAAAATGGTTCGCTGTGGCTGGACGCGAAAATCTAAAGCTCGAGTGACGTTGATTGAGGTGTATTATATCCAGCTATGAACAGGAATGGTGTGATCAAGATGCTCTGTATACTTATCTGAAGAAGTCTGAGTCTGGTACACAATAGTCACAGTGAGTATCAATGTCCCTATGTGTTGCACATCAGGTATCGTAGAGTGCGCACTGTGCGGTACAATTACGGCTGTGTGTAAAAGTAAACTCGCGGAGTTAATTGACGGCGGCGGTGACGGCCGGACAAACAACACAAGCTGTCACCGATAGTACTGACGTTTATACTTCACGATACATGAAGACTGGTGCTGGCCATACTTTACATGAAGATGATAATGTCTTAGATGCAGTCGAGCACTCCACTGACCATGTGACGGGTGATCTCCTTTATTGGGCTGTATGCAATGCTAACAATTCTACAGCGGGTTTGAATTTGTGCGATGCTGTAATAGATACGTGTCAAATTCCTTGTAAGTGTGACGTTGTAAGATCGAATGTATAACATCAAAGTCAAGTTAGTTTTATTGGTAACTCCGGTAGCACAGCGGAGTATTGTCTCTATACGTCACGGCCGGCCGCGCACGTAACGAGCAGCCTCATTACGCTCGTCCTAATTGGCGACCAACTTAGGACCAATAAAGTTCGTCCCACTCTGTGACAGGCCGAGTCGTCACGTCGCCGTGTCGTGCGGTGTGAAGGCGCCTCGTTATGCAGTGGAGCGTCGTGGCTCAATTAGTCGTCGGGCATAAATCTCCCGTCACCGTGGGTGTGTGCGACCGGGAATTGACACTTTTATTTGACATTCAATAATTTCGTTGAAGTTTTATTGACATTTAATTGGTGCAGCGGCTGCGAACATGGGCTCCGAAGGCTGCAGCTAAAGTTGATGTCAATCTGAACTTATTGAGCTTCCTTCTTGGGTATGTTGGGCTGCTAGACTTCAAAATACATACACATATACATAACTTCACGCCTGTCTCCCATGGGGGTAGGCAGAGACTAGAGATCGCCAATTACTACGATTCTTACATACCTCTTTCTTTCTTTCTTTCATTTCTCTTCTTTATTCTTTCTTTCTATTTCATACTTCAAAATGAATGATTTTATTCTGTATTTCTACAGTCTCCAGGATTATTCCTCCCCATTGGAGTAGTATCGCTGTCTTTTTGGTGTTATTTCTTGGGAATTTATTTATATCGTCGAGTTTTAAACTTTCTGCAGTAGATAGTTATGTACTTAGATATATTTGCGGTGGTAACACGCAATATTCCGGTCACGTCGTCCACTGATTGATTAGTGAAACATTGAGTTTGATTAATATTGAATATGTTATTAATATACAGCAGTATGAAGGTGCGTCCGTCGTAAATAACTCAACTATCAATATTTATACGTTCACGTTGTAAACTAATTTATTACATCCAATTAACTTATTGAAATCTCTATGACGACGAGTAGGTATGACGAATTAATCCTTGTTAATATACCTCGGCTGCTCCGTCTGTTTGTGTGTACCAGTAGTGTATAGGTTTAGGTAGTAGCGTTCACAAGGCACACATTGTGTGGCAATAAAATCAATTAGTTTCCCGGACAAACCCGCGCGGTGGCGCTGTGCTCATTAGCATAGTTCGTTGTAAATCAATTCGCTCGTTATCTCACGTTTGAAACTTTGGACGTTTAAACGGCAATATTTCAAGATAGCGATCGCGAGCGGTTTCGATATAAATATGATTGTTTGGTGGCGGCCAATTACTGCATTAATATTCATGCGCCAGACGTGGCCTGACTATGGACTGGCCAGACGCAGCCGCGGCCAGACGCGAGCCAGACAAAGGCCACCATTACGTACAACAATGCTGCGATTAGTTACTGACAAAAAGTAGTGACGTCTCATTGCTCACGTGTCTATTTAATCCTGCTCTGCATTGGTTCGCACGATTGTCTACTGTGACAATATAGTGACGTCATTGGTGGCGCTGGGTCTATCAGGTACCTGATACAAAATATTCAGAATAGACCGTATCTCACGTTGCTACAAGCTGTATAATAATTGTTCTTTGTCAGTGTAAGATAAACAATTTTAACAATTTATCTGCCATAGTATTACCTCACGACTTTCAGCGGACTAGGACCACATACCTGGGAGGAGCGCTGCACGATGTCTCCCTCCGAGCATGGGATGTGCCAACGATTGGAATTATTGATTTCAGCACATTTAAATACTCGTGTAAGGTACAGCTTATGGACCGAGATCCATGAAGGTTCAAGAGAATGTTTGAAATTATAATACTGAGCAACAATTTAGATTGTTATGTAACATAACATAGCATCATGCCTTTTATCCCTGAAGGTGTAGGCAGAGGTGTACATTACGGCACTTAATGTCACTGTACAATGTAACATCCACTTTTCACTATTATGTTATGAGTCTCATGTAATAGGGGGTGAGCCTATTGCCATATATTGGGCACAATTTCAGTCTCCGTGCTACTACTGAGATTTTTTTAAAAACCCAGTATATTTTGCCCGACCCGGGAATCGAACCCGAGATCCCTTGCCAGGCAGGCAGCTAATGAATGTAACTAAAGATAAAGCATGTTAACAACTTTTCAGCAGTCCTCGTAGTATAAGTCGTTACTTACGTACTTGCCACTTATTTCAGAAATCTACCAAAAAATTCTGACTGTATTGGTCCTGGTATTATATAATTTGTGCCCGATATTATACACATCACAATTTAATATGAAGAATGAAAGCAGGACTAATGCGGTGGAAATGAGATCCCGAGAAGTATGTGTGGACTAAATTGACTGATCGAGTGAAAAGAATAGTGTTATTAGAGAAAAGTGTGGAATGAAAGACGATGTCGTGACAAGGATTGAAAAGGGAATGTTACGCTGGTTTGGACATGTAGAAAGGATGAATGAAAGTAGAGTAACGAAAGAAGTATGCACAGCGGATACGAATGAGTATATTGAGGTAGAGGGCGCCCTAGACGGACATTTAGTGACCAGATTGGCGATATATTAAAGAAGGGCCAAATTAAAAGTACCCTTAACCGACGAGCATGCATGAAAAGATTGATGACTGTTGATGAAGCGAAAGAGGTATGTAGGAATCATAGCAATTAGCGTTCCCTAATCTCTGCCTACCCCCATGGGAGACAGACGTGAAGTTATGTATGTAATTTAATATTATTACATACACAAATTAATAAATCCATCTAATAAAATGCAATCAGTGAGCTAGCCTAGTATTTATAATGAGACGCGGTGATTAATGGACGAGTGTTCGCGGGAAACTATTCATCAAGTGTAAGCTAATACGTCGCACTTTGAGATTATAAGATAAACTCCTACTGTTGCTGCTGCCCTGGTACCTGCGGCTTTATACTCGTGTACTACTAATGGCAGCTCATCGAGTTAAATCAAACAGAGTGAATCAATGTAATTATTTTTTTAATGTTTCATTAATAAAGTTGAAAATCTATTAATGTAATTCAGTGTAGCTTTACGTGCGGGTGTCTGTAGGTACTAAGTATGAATCCTATGTAATCGTGTATCGATACTCGATCATTAATCGAGTGGTTTACTTATTATTAGTGTTGTATAGTGTAGCGTGCACACGCGAGCATTGCTTAGCGTGCACAGACGTGCATAGATACAGCCGTGCAGATAGGTCAAAGATTAAACTTATCTATTGTCTATGGTGGCCACAGATCTGTTCGATGTCGAACATAAATATTGTTTATGATTGTATAATTATTTGTACATTGAATACAAATTCTGTATTGAGTAGTATTATTAGTAATAGCAATAAATTGTGTTGTGAGTTCAGACAAATGTATTGTTGAGTTCGATATTTGATCAGATACATACAGCTGATAGGATTATATGATTGGGGCAGTGAATGGATGACTACGGATTTGCCGATTTAGTTCCGTTAGTAGAAACAAACAGGTTAATATATTTTTTAAATTAAGTTTGCTGTTTTGTATTTTACTTCTTTTTGTACTTAATTGTGGCTTTATTCATAAGAATTTAAATTAAATAAATATAAACAACTTAAAATATAAATAACTAAGAACAAAAAATTAACACGTTAAAAATTTTTTTCCTCATCGCTATCGTGAGGTAGGGTGCCCAAAAAACTGGCCTCATTGCCACGTTGAATGGCAATGGTTAACCTTTGCCCAAGGTAGTAGCCAGCCCTGAATTGTCAACCATCCTCCTTACAATATCTTTGTAAAGAAGATGTGACACATTTTTATTTTTGATTTAGTTCACTTTTCCGATACCGGAGGGAACATCAGTGGCCCCACCCTCTGTTCTTTAAGTGAGGGATCAGAAGCAATGATTTTTTTGTGGACTTTATGTCTTTTCACGGATGTTTTGGACGGAGCGATCTGGTTTACTCAGATGAGTAGGATACTACTCGAAATGAGATGATATGGATGGATGACGTCACCGTTCTCTCCTCGCACTGCCGGCGCTACACACAGAACTGGTTTGTCCTAGATCCGATCCTCGCTTTATTGTCAGTTCGCAAGTTATCGTTAACACGAAGCTAACTAGGTGTAATGATTTCAAGGAACCGCTTGGGTGGTCCAGTTTACGTCGCAACTTTTTATATTTATCCGAACAGCATAGAAAAACAATTTTAGGAACCTATGCAACAGTTTAGCATCCTAGCATTTTGGTTGAATGATGGTTTGATTCGCAGATTCGATACAATTCTTTTGTGATCTACAAATGTTCCGAGTCTAGGTATAGATATATCGGGGTCATGCCATTAGAATTCATGGCAAAATAACATAACATCACACCTTTAACCCCGAAGGGGTAAGCAGAGGTACACATTACGGCCCTTAATACCACTGTACCAGGCTTAACTCCAGAATCCGAAAATAAGAACCCGAGACCTCTTGCCCAGCAGTTGCACTTCCAACCACTCAGCCCACGAGGCAGCCAGGTAATTTGGCAAAAAATGAGAATCATATATCTATCCATACGATCCATCTGAAACGATCGTCATCATCCCAGATTCAATTCTTCCACGCCAGCTGTAACTTGCTTACTACTGGTATAGTATGTACATAAAGGCTAATAGATATGAGATGGTGTCTCACCCATGGGCATGACGTGTCCGAAGTGGTGTCCGTCCCCGACGCCCGAGCAGTTCCACCGCCGCCCCGCCAGCTGCAGCCGACACTCCGCGTACGCCATCCTGCACCCGACACAATACATTCAGATCATTGTACTCATACACACTACATCTTAACATTACCTGCGATCCTGGTATTACCTATAAATGTGAAGGGGTTCGATAAATAAATAAGTCATTAAATCAGAGAGACATTAAAATACTGCAAAATATAATGAACTAGTACAGAGGCAGCATCCTTATCGAGTACAATGTCCTTATTGAATGTACCAGTAACCTAAAAACTGATGGAATTCCCATCTTGTTATGCTAAGTTCCACTACGAATGAGTAATGTAAATATGTGTGTGTTAGAATAAGTATGAGACATAGATTGTCACGGATTTACTTACGAAGTTCCGCAGACTACCAGCAAAGTCAAAGTCATTTATTTCAGTTAAGCATTAATTAGGCACTTTTGAAAAAAAAAAAATTGTCCGTCCTTCTGTTTGTCAGTGAAGCTAGGCCCTCGTTCCAAAAGGCGAAAACAGGGCGCTTATAATAAGCTTTTCAAGACCAAAGCTAACCAAATTAAAAAATTGTGTAGCACAAAAAAAACAGCCTTCAACCTTTCAACCTTCTATAAACATTTATGCTGTCTGTCCGTCACTCATGAACCGAAGAGTAAACTTATTCGACAAGGATTGCAGATGATCCCAGATCTACACGTCCAGTCAATGCCGGTAGCTGTATACGAGGCAGGATAATTGATGAGTACCGGCTGCAGTAGTAACGGTGCCACAGCCGAGATACGAACCACATACCTCTGCACTGCACATACATCATGCACTACATCGCGATATCTTTCATGTTGTACACAAGTGATCGAGCTTTTGCTCTAAATAGACTGTATAGTTCCCTACATTGAGTAGCGCAAGCGTTAATTAGTATTAACTATCTATTATTATCGTCGTGAAATTCCTTGCCGTCGACTACGGCTCCTCGCAAATTTATTATTCGGTGAAAACAAAAGTATAAATGGTACCTGCCTATCCTCTGCCTACCCCTTTTCAGGAAATAACGGAGGTGATGATGGGTTACATGATCGCGGCTAATTTCTGATTAATCGAGTAAGTGGCCAATAAATTGTCAGTAATTTTATCGAACACTGTAATCTCGATGCTACCTCACTATTAGCGGGGTCTTGTTTCTGCCTGCGAATAACTGTAAATTATATCCTTAATTGATGCCAAGTGAATTAAAGATTTATTACATTTCTTAACGATATTGTGTTATTTGTATAATTATGCTAAAAATTCAATTAAAATATCAATAAAATTGAAATAATAATTAATTAAACATGAAAAATTAACATGACCTAATTAACAGCCCTGTGGCATACCCATACTTTAACAAAAAGTGGTAATATTATATTCTTGTAGTTTATAGTAACTACTGCGTGAGTAAACTGTCATCACGTAATGCCAATTATTATTTAATCTGTCAAACACCAAGCGGTCACCGGTGACCGCGACCTATTGTTCTTTAATTGTGTCTATAAAACCGGTACTCGACGAGTTAAGCATAATATTAGAGCAATTTTAGAAACATAAAAGCTATACATGAAGCAATTCATCATAATCTGATCGATCATAAGTATCGAAAGCTTCAACAACATCACAAGATACAAAATTTGATGGTGAAATAAATTAATTGATTGTACTGAAACTTCTACTGAGTGTTTTCTTGTCTTCATCTTATGTGTATGTGGAAGGTCTCACCTGAGTCCGTCTCCGATGGCGGCGACAGCAGCAGGTGACTGGCGACACATGGCGCGCTGTCGCTCCGTCAGTCCCGGCGCCCGCGCGCACACTAGCGCCGCGCCCAGCGACCCACCGCACACCGCCAGCCTGCAATACACCAACACTACCATCAGCATACTGTAGAGGAACATCATGATGATGTAAAGGACCCAGGAAAAGATAATCCTAGAGAGGAATAAATGACGCAGTTCTGATGGAATACAAAACTGATTGGTGGATCATTAAAGTCGAAAGCGATGGATGAAATATTTGGTCATACATTGTGACCAAATTGTGACCTGCTAAATTCTTTATAAAAAGCGTAGAACCTGTTTGAACCATGACATCCGCTATGTATACAGAACATTATACTCGACTGTATACAGTTAATACAATGAACTATAGTTCATTACTGCAGTAATTCGTTGCACATTCAGCACACAATTTCTCCGCTAAATCGGCGCAACCCCGCACATTGTCCAGTACACAATGTTAGACTGAGCTCCGCGGACCGTGTCTCCGCGGTGACGCGGCAGTAGCAATTATTATCAACAGAATTGCAAACAAATAAACACGTTTCCTGTCATCATCATGTCTGCGGCCGTGTCAACCTGAGCGTGACATTAACTAAACACAGCGCACGCGCACTGTGATGATAGGCTCGCGGATTGTCAACGCAATTATATATTAAAGTAGCTCCTGCATAATGACAATATAATTGATGATTTGTTATCAGGCTACTTACTACGGAATGTCTGTGGCATTTTATCCACGTCAATATCCCTTGCTCATGACCATGACATGTATGATGGTTTTATATTTAGTTTCGACAATGTGTCGCTATGCAGTGAGAGCATGCGCCGTGTCCAGTGTTCACATGTAACTGTTAAACTCTGTAATTAATGTTGTTTGTCACTCGCTGTTAATTGCAGTCACCGTAACATTTCACTTTCAAAGCAATCCCAGGAATTAACACGTTTTCCATCAAAGTGTATGTATTGTGCGCTACAAATTATCACGGCGCAGTGTATTTGTGCGCGTGATTAATAAGGTATTGTTCGGGCGGCGCGCGGAGACCGCGTGGGCGCCGCGCGCAGCTCCGCGCCGGGAATTAGCGGCCGATGTCGCGCCAACGCGTTAATTGCCGCCGCGTATTACCGACGACGTATTAATGAAACAGACGACCTGCCACACACCCGCACACACTCGCTAAATCTATTCAAGCGAAATGCACCTCTACTGCATTAAAATAAAGATTTGATTAGCGTGAGTGTGCAATTGATTAATGTATCAGCAATGTGGAGTAGTGTACGGCCTGAGAGATGTCCGTCTGTGTGGGAAAGTAACATTGATTGGCAGACAGTGAGTGAAATCGAGAATCATCATCATCATCATCATCATATCAGCCACAGGACGTCCACTGCTGAACATAGGCCTCCCCCAATGACTTCCAGATAGGCCGGTTGGAAGCGACCTGCATCCAGTGGTTCCCTGCGACCTTAATGAGGTCGTCTGCCCACCTTGCGGATGGACGTCCTACGCTGCGCTTGCCGGTACGTGGCCTCCACTCGAGAACCTTTCTGCCCCAGCGGCCGTCGGTTCTCCGCGCTATGTGCCCTGCCCACTGCCACTTCAACTTGCTAATCCGCTGGGCTATGTCGGCGACCTTTGTTCGTTTGCGGATTTCCTCGTTTTTTAACCGATCTCGCAAAGAAACTCCGAGCATAGCCCTTTCCATAGCGCGCTGAGCGACCTTGAACTTCTTTATAAGGCCCACAGTGAGAGACCACGTTTCTGTTCCATAGATCATCACTGGTAACACACACTGATTATAGACTTTCGTCTTGAGGCACTGAGGTATGTTGGACGAGAAGATGTTGCGTAGTTTCCCGAACGCTGCCCATCCAAGTTGGATTCGACGATTGACCTCTTTCTCGAAATTGGACCTACCTAGCTGGATCACTTGTCCTAGGTATATATATTCGTCAACAATTTCGAGGGTAGAGCTCCCAACCGATATCGGGTAGGGCGTAACATGGGCGTTCGACATGACTTTCGTCTTGTCCATGTTCATTTGGAGCCCTACCTGTTGAGAAACTCTACAGAGGTCATCGAGCATTGTGCTTAGATCCTCCAGCGATTCTGCCATGACCACAATATCGTCGGCAAACCGGAGGTGTGTGATGTACTCGCCGTTGATGTTAATGCCAGATCCTTTCCATTCCAAAAGTTTGAAGGCGTCTTCCAATGCAGCGGTAAACAGTTTTGGAGATATGACGTCTCCTTGCCTTACACCTCGCTGCAGAGGAATATCCTTCGTGTTCGGTCCTGTACTCGGACCGACATAGTGGCGTTTGTGTACAAGCACTTTAAAACCTCAATGTACCGATAGTCAATACGGCAACGCTGGAGAGATCTTAACACCGCCCAAGTCTCGATCGAATCAAAGGCCTTCTCATAGTCCACAAACGCTAAGCATAGCGGCAAGTTATACTCCTCGGTCTTCTGTATAACCTGCCGCAGTGTATGGATGTGGTCCATGGTGCTATAGCCTTTCCGGAAACCGGCTTGTTCGGGAGGCTGGAAGTCATCGAACCTACGTGTGAGACGATTCGTAATGACCCTCGAAAACAGCTTGTAGACATGGCTCAGAAGTGAGATGGGTCTGTAATTTTTCAGTAGAGTATTGTCTCCTTTCTTGAAGAACAGCACCACCACACCTCTGCCCCATGCCGCCGGCGTTACTCCTTCGAATATGACAGAGTTGAAGAGCTTCTGAAGGACTCTCAGTACCGGCGTTCCGCCCGCTTTCAGAAGCTCTGATGTGATTCCGTCTTCACCCGGCGCCTTGTTGTTCTTAAGCTGCTTGAGGGCCATTCTAATCTCGTATAGGCTGATGTCCGGGATATCCTCGGTATAATGTCGGGTAAGTCTAGCTCTTGGATCTGCAACTGAGTTAACAGGTTTAGTGACCGATGCGTATAGCTGACCATAAAACGTCTCGATCTCCCTCAAAACTTCGGCTTTCGTCGACGCCACACTACCATCCTCCGCCTTCAGCTTCGTCAGCTGGCTTTGCCCAATAGACACGTCCCTAGCGAACACTTTGGAGCCTTGGTTCCGCTCTATCGCTTCTTTAACCATATTGACATTAAAGTTGCGGATATCGTGTCGCAGGGACTTCCATATCTGTCTATTGAGCTGCCGATGTGCTTTAGCATCGGCAGAGGTCTGGAGCACCATAGCACGTCGTTCTGCCATGAGTCTGAGGGTACAATCGGTAAGCTTCTGCGGTCTGTCTTTTTGAAAAAAATACCACATTGACTTCTAACGCGTATAGACGTGTACATTGATGCAAAATAATATTGCTTAATTGAAGAATTTAATTAATAGTGACCTAGTTTGGTAATTACTTTGCGTTTAATTTTATATGTGAGTAAAGTGCTACAAACTAAACCAAATTATGACAATAAGTGTGTACAACGACGAGTAATATGGACAGCAGCCCCTTCAACCGGAGCGGGATTACTCGCCGCACCCCTCCGCCGACAACACCGTGCCGGGAACAACCAGTCCAAATTGACCCACCTGAAGTTGTATCTACATCAGACCTTCACCAATGGACAGGATCAGTTGAGAGATACCTACAAGAAATCTGCAATATTTCTTCCGAGGGCAAACTGAACTCCGAACAGAAATTGAAAATTAGTAACCTCTGCAGAAAAGTATCCCAAGGTTTCACCCACGTCACTGTGCAATACCAAGCCCTGAAGAATAAGGCATTGATACAACACTATGCCTTACAGGACCTCAAAGAAAAAAATGACCTTGCTGTTTCTTTAACGCAAATTAAAGAAACGATAAAAGAGTCCTGCTCCAAATCCGTGCCACAAAATAGCTCTTTTGCCGACATGGTGAAAAAAGGTGCCAACAACTTTGTTCGACCAAGCCCATTAAGCTCTGTTGCAATTTATCCCAGTGATAAATCAAAGACTAGCGACGAAACTAAGAACATTGTACAAAAAGCCATTTGCCCAGGAGAACTCAACTTAAAAGTACGTGGCGTTCGCAAGATACGTAACGGCGGTGTCATTATTAGCACTGAAACAAAAGAGGACTTGGAAAAGCTAAAGAAGTCAGTCCAGCTCTCTTCCACTGGACTTACCGTTGATGAGCCGAAGAAACGTAATCCGCGACTAATTGTCTTAGGAATCCCAACCTCAATGGCTGAGCAGGAAGTGTTCAAATGCATTTTTGAACAAAATATTGCCGAAAAGCTTCCCTCTTTGTCCCGTGATGCGTTCCTGGCTTCAATAAAACTGAGCCATAAATCAGGAAGGAGAGATGCCGACCACTGCAACTTCATCATTGAAGTTTCAGCCGCCCTACGTAAAGCCCTCATAACGCAAGATAGATTGTTCATCAACTGGACATCCTGCCCTGTGAGAGACTTCACTATAGTGACCAGATGCTACAACTGCCAGCAGTATGGTCATGCAGCCAAGTCGTGCCAGGCTGCCGCTCCAACATGTGGTCACTGCGGAGATGAGGGCCACTCTATCAAAGACTGCCCTAAGAAAGGAGCTCCGCCGAAATGCGCTACTTGCGCCCGCTTCAAAAAGCCGAGCAACCACCAAACTGGTGATATTGACTGCCCAGCCAAAAAAGCAGCAGAAAATAGGTATATGAATTCTGTAAATTATGAAGGCGCCTAAGAGCGCCACTCTTTTTTCTTAATTTTAGATCTAAGTTTACTTGTTAAATGGCCATTAACTTAATTAATGATATTGGCAATTGTTTTTCAAATATATCTACTTCTTGTGAGGTTGAAGATTGCAAAAGCTATGTATCCAACTTCCCAAAGTCACTAACTGTTCTCACTCAAAACATTCGTAGCTTATACAAAAATATAGATAATTTTCATGTTCTTCTAGGAAGACTTAACTTCTCATGTGACATAATCATTCTAACAGAGTGTTGGCTTAAAAGTAAATGTGTTAACCTACCTGATATTCAGGGATATAACTCCTTTTGTAATACCGTGAATACTAGCCAAAATGAAGGTGTGGTTGTCTATGCAAAAGAGTCATTAAGAGTTACTGTAGAGGAACCTAATACACCAGGATGCAATTGTTTGGTCATTAAGGTAGAT